CAATTGCATTGCTCGAACTGACGAAAAGATAAATCAAGAGAAAATACACATTGAGAGACATTATAATTGTGTATGCACTGAAGGAGACAAGAAAATGGCACTGAAATCAAGTATAAACACATATATTTATATTTTCTCGTTCATGGCTGATGAAAATCAGATTTCCACATATACGTAATACTCGACAGTTGAATTCAACTATTCAACTACTCAACTACCGTAATTCGTTCAGTTGTGTTAACTGTCTAAAGTTTTTAGGGCCGAGTCTACACATAGCGTTGAAGCTGATTGAGGGTGTGTGGAGAGTGCGGCGGGGTAGAACATCTTGAGAGTGTGGTTGAGGATAGAGTGGTGATTTTTTGTAATAAATGAATAAATGAATAGTTGAGGGGGGTGAGGGTGTGGGTGAGGGTGTGAGGCGCGATGGATATGCGATTTGTGCCGAGGACGTGAGATTAGAAGATGTCGATAGTTAATGAACATTGATATTGGGACTCCCATCTCGTAAAGTATGGAATGGGATGCATCCGAGAGTTCATGAGTTTTTTCAAAAGTAAAGCTAAGACGGAGAAAACATCATTGCGAAAACTCTCTTGTTTGGTGAAAAACCTCATATTCGTTCTTCGTTTGAAAAATACTAGATCAGAGGTAAAACGATTTTCGTAAAAGATTACCCTAGCAAATAGAATGAAAACGTTCTACCAAAAAGGTAATAGAACATGAAGATTAAATAGCGCAAGTCTTGTCTAAAACTTAATCAATTTCAATTAATTTTCATCTGGAAAGATATCGTATGGAAAAGTTAAATAAGCTCTTTAGAAATCAGATCTTTTCTCTCAAATGAGCACTTTCCCACGAATTGTTGGTAAATCTAGGTTGAAATAGAAAGCTTACGTCTAGTTTGCAATGAGTTTGTGTAGCGCTATGATATATTCGAAAAAAAAACTTTCTTGCATTGAATTCAGAAAAGATAATGACACTCTTTTGCCATCAAAAGCGACGACTGGTAAAACTTGTTGAGTATGAAGGTACTCGACAAAAAAGAGAAATCAGCATTGTGAAACAACGAAATATTGTTTACTTCTACGTCAGGTTTATCGATATTGCTCTTGCTCATTCTGTAGAAAAGAATTTTTCACTCATTTGAAAATTTCGATTCTGTCGAAGAGAGCGAATACCATTCCTATATTATTAAGAACTCTTCGTCAGAAGTGAAAGAAGGGAATGGATCAATATCACATGTGCGCTATTTGATACCTTCTCAATTAATTCATCATAACGAAGCACATCCCAAGTTTCATTTTACAGCTCAATCAAAAATACAGTTTGATTTTGGACACGAAATTAGGAACACAATCAAATGAATGCGAGAACTTCGGATAGGCTCATCTTCGAACTCATAAACTAACGATATACGTACACACTGATTGACGCGGTATCTCATTTCACGAAGTTTGATGACCAGGATGTTTCTCTCCCGCGTTGATGCGAAACTAACTCGCAATCTTATTTGATATGCCGTACCGTCCCATCCTTCTAAAAAGATACCGGATCGATTCTACTTGAAATAAGTAATGAGCTCTCTCGTTTTTAGGGCAATATTCCATTTGATACGTATCAGCAAGTGCCGATAGATTAATACAGCCTAACGGTAAGTAACATTAGAGTCCTGCATCGGAATTTTTTCGGTATTGATTATTCTCAGAGCAGAGACTTCAGTTCAGTTCTTGGATTCTTTTGAAGGTATTTGATGGATAGAAAATTAAATTCTCTACCTCTGGTGCACGTTCAAAAGAATCTAAGAACTAAGATGTAGTCTCTACTCTGAAAATACCTAATCCCGATGCAGGACTCTACCCATTCCGTCGATTCCTGCAAAGCATCATATTTACAAAACATCAAATACGTCGCACACTAAATAGTTAGATAATTTATTCTTCTAGTAGATGCTTAACTCACGAATACCAGCAACGAATCGCAGAACTTAATGAAAGCTCTTTGGACTCTGATTCTTATTTTCACAAAATATCGCCCTGTCTCTCTCTACTAATGTCTTTTTCCAACAGTACATACATTATTAAAAAGAAAACTTAAACAGATAAGACATGAAGAAAAAAAAGAATATTCTTTTCTATCGGAGCAGCTACAGTAAGATAAAACTTCAAGTGTTTAATTTTTTATATAAAAGAAAGCATAGACGTGAGATAGTGAATGTAAAGATATCGTCTCTCATACTGACCGATAGATCCAACAAGAAACTTCATGAATGTGTAAATCATATAACCTATTGTTTGAAATGTGAAGACACTCTCATATCATGCAAAACATTCTTGTGCCCTTTATTCCAAATTTCACTGTTACTTCAGAAGATTAACCCATACAACCAACCTGAGGGTGTGGGGTGTGAGTGGTAACTGCCATAATCGATTTCGAACCTATTAAAGTTCGTTTTCAAATGGTTTGAGACTCAAAAATGATCAAAAGACATTATTTTGAAGAAAACAATATCAAATAACCAAATCTAAGTTGAATCTTGAGGGTGTGGGTGAGTTATATATATTGGAACCCTACAATCTAGATTTCGATCTTTCCAAAGGATCGATCATCAGGTAGGTTATTATCTGCATTCAAATTCAAATTCAAAAAGAAATCGGAAAGACTAATTAAAGTCCACCAAAATTGAGGGTGTGAGTCAAAGCACGCCATTATTGCGATTTCGTCCCTGCTAGAGGACTCATCAGATGGCTTTAGACTGCATAAGCTATCCAGATGATCCGAAGATCACAGATAAGCTTACATAATCTGCGTAGTTCGACAGATAGCTGAAAAGAAGCTGTTCGATGTACCGCTCATATGGTTGCGAATGGTACAATATAGATTATGTTCGCTTTGTTTATATATTGAATTCTGGTGCTGGGAAACAATGAGGCGAATGGGTGGCAACACCGGATTAGGGTGACATCTTATGGAATATTAGGGATGTTTTGTTTAGTTGTTTATTGGAAAGTGCTGTCGTCACGTGGCTTTTTGATATGAGATATATTATATCGGTGCTGGTTTGGCTTGAGTGTGATGTTGCGCAGCGCTTTAAGCTTAAAATCTGATTTTGAGTGTTTGAGGATACTTGGCAAGTGGTCAAAGAATCTGTTCGGCAGTTAAAACACGACAATAAACGAAATGTAATGTGGCGAAACTTTCGAAATGCTCAAAATGTCGATAACATTTAAACATGGGGAATGGACTCCTATTGTAGCTTCATTGATGATTATTTTTATACATCTTTCTGTACACATTGCTGGCCAATTGTCTTATACGTATAGTACGGTCCGAAATAAAAGCATTGTCTCAAGAATGATTAGTCGATAATTTAGCATTTTCACATCGTAAATCGTATTTAGCACCATTTTCTATATTCTTGATTTTCATGCGCTTAACTGTCTGGCTCTTGTGATTCTCATGCATTCCGCATATTACATGTAATTTATGTGCGCATGACTCATGCAAGTGTTCAAGTGCTTCTCAATGGAAAGAAACTCAAGAGATCATGACACATCTTGAGACGTGTCTGGCTCAAGAATGAAAAAAAAAGTTCGCCTAGGGTTGTCATTTCACTGTTGAAGAACAATTTTGTGATTTAAGTGTCTAATGAAATAAATGAAATGAAAAGTAAATAGTCAACCTTTTAGAAACAATCTAGATCTTATATAAAAAAGGCATGTGATATGACATCGAAAAACTAATCCATTCATTGCTAGGAGACGGGTTCTTATACACATCCACTACTATAACTTGTAGATCAATATTTACTTGAAAAAATGTGCTTTAATCTTAATTTAAAATCAATGAATAATTCGAAAAATGGCCGGTTTGAAAGCATTTATCAACCGGTCGGACCGGACCGGCCTAGATATTCTTCACCGGTTCCAACTCTGGGCCCTGCTAGGAGCTGTATAAACGATTAGAGATATAGCACATGAAGAGTCTTTATGAGTGTGTTTATAATTGTATTATTTGTCACTAAGCTAAAAAGGTTTGCTTTTCAAGTTCAAGTTTATTTTTATGCGCTTTAATACTTGAATCTTAGTGTTTTTTTCATCTAATTCACGAGGGAAAGAACTCAACGTGTATTGTATTCAAGATATTCTCACCTTACCAGCAATCCTAAATAATTTTAGGCTAACATTTTCTTATTAAACCCGACAATCAATCTTAAATTGACTTCTTTAGTTGAATCGACCAATTATATCCCTTGTGACTAGTAAAAATGCTATAAGCTTGAGTGTGCGGATTCTAAAGTGCGTTAAATCTGAAAATGTTCTATTTTCATCCATAGTCTCGTTTTCAAAACACAAGCAGGTGAGTTCTACGTTTTAGACTCAAAGGGGCGACGCTTGTGCTTTTTCCAGATTGAAAGGTCACGACATTCATACTCTGCAACCTGCTCCGGCAAGGCTCTATTCCTAAATGACTGTCAGCAAAAATGAGTAGTTTTTACTATAGCAATTTACCGTATCTAACATAGAACATGCTTTTGTTGCTCGATAACTCCCGGTCAGCCGATATCATTCGATAGAGAATTTCATTTCGAATCTATCGCAAGACACTTGAATGCGCTGCTAAATTCCATCGTGTCCCCCTGGACAAACACAAAGAAGAGATTATGACATTTGGTGTCCTGTCCCCTAAAAAAGTCGATCCTACCATGATCGAAAAAAATAAAATACAGCCCGAACCGAACTCTATGACGGCACAACTCCTAATCCACTTATTCTGCCCATTACGGCAGTCATTCCTAAAATCCCTCAGACCTAATTCTCTAGCTGGAAATTCGAAAATTCCTATTATGGACATTATGGAGACGGTATATAAGGTAATTTATTTGCTCAGGACTCACTGGTAAAACTGACTTCCTCGGAAAACGTTATAACGCATCAAATCGCAGATTCTGACTGTTGACAGTCTTCACAGAAGGTTTCCCAATGTATAAACTTTGTACATTTTTATTTCATATCAGACGAAGAAGAATTTCGCGCTAAGAAAAATGTGGGTCTCTTTTCAAGATTTTCAATTGTTTTCATAAATTCGTCATAAATATCATTTTCAGTGAATAATTGCACTTGTTTATCAGATAAATTAATTGTTTCAATAGAAGTAAATTCTAAAAGAGTACCAAAAGTTGATTTTTGATCAATCCAATTGATACTATTGAATTCATCTGATAAGTCATTCAAAATAATTGATACCTGATGATATAATTCCGATGAAGAAACAATAGAATCTTGGGCAAGTAAATGTAACAAACATAATAAATTCTCAAAAGTTGAAAATTTTCTTTGATTTACCATTGAATATAAAAATTCAAATAATTTTTCAATAACATTTTCGCCATCAATTTGTTTAATGAAAGTAAATGCTACTGGAATTTCATCGTTATATACGTTTACAACCCATTTCCATAGATCAATGAGTTCATTTGTAAGTACACCAGACATAATATAAACATTAATTAATGCTTCAATATCTGATTGATCTGTTTTATGATACAGATATTGATAAACTTCTGCTTGTGGAACATCTCGGATAAAAATACATTTTTGAATTGATTTTTGAAATAGAAGAAAATTATTTTCAATAGCTTTGTATGCTATTTTCACGTAATTAACTGTTGGAGGCGAAAGATAATTAAAATTTGATTTATCACATAAGTAATCATGAAAATTTCTCGCAAATATATCAAGAAGTTTGCTTGAATTCTTTTCGATATGTTTAACGATTTCTTTTTCAATTTTATAATCATCACCAAAACATTCTTCCCAATGAAATAACGTTTTCTCCAATAAGAATTGATACTCTTTTTCCGGTGTCAAGGTCCATTTTTCTTCAAATAGATTTCTTCTTACTTGAAATGTTGGAAGAGATCTTTGTGCAATAATCAAACAAAAAGCAGCTCTTATGATAATTACCTCCGGTAATGATGAATTGAATATATTCTCGAGTGCTTGATTTAATTCATCTGAAATCTTGAGATTTCGATTCGATTTTTGCGTTAAATACAAATAATTTCCAAATGCCAGTAAACAAATGTTTAAAATATCGGATGAATATTCATCAAAGAAAAAGATAACTTGTTCTAAATGTGCAACTCCATAACCTCGTAGAAAGAGATGTTCTTCGTACATTTCATAATTTGTAAATACAAAAGAAAAACCGCTAGCAATTGCTTTTTGAATTTGTAAGAAATCATGATTATGTAAAAGTGATAAGATATATTCGTAAAGTTCATCAGAAAAATCATCTTTTTTGCCATTCCATATTGAGTTTTCGATCATCCATTTACAAAGAATAGCAATATATTCTTCTTTGAAAGTATTGGGATTTTCAAGATATTTTTTAAGATATTCTAAAAGAAAAACTCGTAAATCGTATGAACATTCTTTGACTATTATTATAAATGGAGTAGTTGAAGTATTTCGTTCGAATTCTAAATCAAGAATTAATTGAAGAACTTCTGTACGATGAATATACACAGATATTTGTCGAAAATATCCAACATTTTCATGTAAAAGTGTCAGAATTTGCCGGAGAATAGATAAATTGACAAATTCTGATTCGATTAAACGTTTTAAAAGTGATCGAAAATTACATTTTTGAATACAATCGAAATTTTTCTTGATAATATCAAACAAATCTGATGAATTTGAACCATGAATAATAAGTTGCAATGCGGCGTAATACGCCATATATTGCAAAGATTTATCCGTTTGATAAATGAGCCATTTTTCAATCTCTGATAAAGCATTTGGTTCAATGAATAAACAACACAAAACATTTTCAATAATTTTTGAAAGATTGTTCTTATTTGGTGAATTCAAATAATTTGTTATCCATTTTGCTATTTTAACACTCATAATTTTCTCATTGGTTGACAAGTCATTCCACAATTCATCTAAGTCTTTCCAATTAGAGATTCGACTCTGTTCATCATCATTTCTCTTCATTTGTAAAATTTGCATATCAAATGCTAATTCAGTGGTATAGATCAATGAGAGAAGAAGCGTATTCGATGAATTGAATGAATTTCTTTTGTTCAAGCATTCGTAGAGAATAGAAGAATTCAATTGAAAAATTTCTGATAAATCTGATTTTTGTTTAATAAATTCCAAAAAACAATTCGAAAACTCAGGATTACGAAGTTGTTTCAAAGCTATGAATGCTGCTTCTTGATTTGGTTTATCGTTAGAAAATTTCTCAATAATAATTTCGGCCATTTGATGAAACGCTACTGATTGATATTCATATAATGAATAACATCGAATAAATAATAATGTTGCGAATAATAACGAAAGATTTGGCAAAAGTATTTGCAACGAATTAATCATTTCTAATCTTAAATCTTGTCTCTGTTGAATTTCAAAGATTAATGGATCTTTCATATCCAACAAAACACTTAAGGCGAAGATTTTTAACATTGGATTGTTGATATTTTGCACAACAGAATACACTTCTTGACTTTTTTCAGGAGAAATTTTCAAAACGATACTCACCTTGAAAAAGTCTTGCGAGTATAATTGATGTAACTAGAAGTTTTAAATCTTTTCTTTCATTATCAGTAATATTATTCGCATCAGAAATACGTTGACGTTCAATTTCAATAAGTTTGTTCACATCGATTGGCTCATCAATCGAAATTTGCTCGAATAATATATTGGCACGCTGTTCTTGTTTTTCTTGTTCTCTACCGTGTTTGTTTTCTATCAGACGAATTATCAAATAGTTTTCCATGTGATAATTTTGAAATTGTGATCGTAATCGCGATAGGAGAAGATAATAATTTGGATCATTTTCATCAAGATTTTCTAAATGTATTAAAGATTGTAATCGAAATAAAACTCGTGATAATAAATTGAGTTTACTGTTTGAGTCATTTAAGAGAGAATAATATAAATTTTGAAGATGTTTTGGTATAAAAGAAAATGATTTTAATGAAATCTTTCCAATCATTTCTGTCGAATTCTGGTTTTTGTTAGTTGATTGAGGATTTTGTCGGGCAGGAACGAAATAACTTGGTGTAAGTAAAAATAATGAATAATTTATATCAAATTTATTCAATGCAGAGACACAAATGACGGAAAATTTCAAACGTTGTTTTTCGAATTCGATTGATTTTGGATAAAAGAAATTAACGATTTGCTGAAGATCTAATAGAAGAGAATGATCATTGATCAAATGTCTTCCGTCTTTATGAGAAATCCATGTTTGTTTTAAATAAAACCAATTTTGTTGGAGTCGAATTGCAGCCAGAGATAATCCGGAATATTCAGAATATTTTCTATAAAACATTTCTATCGAAAGTCCTTTTAAGCAAATTAACGCCATAAAAATATCAATAATTTCGTTTGAAGTATCTGTTTTCGATGTCTTCTCAAGAATATTTTCATAATAATTTATCAATGATGTCATTTTCACCCAATGGGACTCTTCCGAATTCGTTAAATATTCAACAATTGACGGTATAATTGACGATTGACGAAAGATTTGTTTGGAAGAAAAATTGATTCTTAAATCTTGATTTTCCAATATGAAATTGAGTCCTCCGCATACGAGACAAATAACAGAAAGTATTAATGGATGAATCGTTGATATACAGATATGGTTTGATGAAAAATACGATGAGAATTCATTGGAAACAATATATTCATGTGCATTTCGGATTAAGATAATTCTTCGAAAAGTTTGATCGATGAGAAATTCATTTGTTGAGTTTTGATTGCGATACTTGTTCAATTGTTGATAAATCTTTGGCAAAATTGATTTGAGTTTATTTGGAAATTGAACAATTTTTAATTGAATTGATTTTAATAGACTTTGACAAAATTTACGGAGGTTTAGTTCATCTTTTAAATGTAATTCCATCCATTCTTGAATTAAGTTTTCAGGTAATTTTAGGAAATTCCACAGAAAATATTTGTCAACAATAATATTTATCGAACAATTCAATAAATGATTCAATGCATTAAAAATAACTGATTTCATTGGTAATCGTCGAAGATCTTTGAAACCTTCGAAAAAGAGTAAAATTCCCAAAGGAATTGTAGACGATTTATCAGCATTTACGAGTAAATTACAGAATTGATTATAATCCTTAAATGCCCATTTCCAACTAATCCAACCGAGAGTTAAAAGAAGTGATTTTCGAAAACGTGATTTGCTAGTAAATGTAACAATACGTTTAGCGAGGCTTTCTATCGAGGAATTTCCAAGTAAAGATTGCGTTACAAAATAATCTTGAAATAATGAATGTTGAAAAGAAAATACTTCTAAACCTAATTCACTTATAATATTCATTTTCGATTGAAGAATTTCTAAAATTTTCTCAGTATATTCACAAAGATTTTCATGATTAATCGATAGATTTCCGTGTTGTTTCAAAACCATTTGACATAATCGTTTTAGATCAAATGCATCAATCAGATTCGATGATGAATTTGTATGAAGATATGTGGAAGTGTGAATTAAAAATTTGATTAAAATATCCTTTGATATATGAAGTTCTTGATTGGGCCAAGAATTTAATATCGATTGAACAATAAAATCATAGATTTCTATTCGAGATTTGGGATTGAAATTCTTATTTAATTGAAAAATATTTTTACAAATAAAACATAATAATAAAGGATTGAATGTAAGCGATGTTGAATGTTTTTTAAATATACACTCAATAGCATTCAATCGTCGATTAGATAAATATTTCATTTTTTCTTCATTTAATTCAAAGCCATGTTTAGATAAAATCTCCAAAATACTTTTTTCTACTTGTTGCATCCATTTTTTCATAAATATTCTCGATTGTTTACGTTCTAATAATAATAATAAATAATGATGAATAAAAGAACCAAGAATAGGATGAAATTGATATCCAACTTTTCGAGTTGTTACAATTAATTGATTTCCACCGGTTATTTTTGGTGATCCTATTTCATAATAGATTTTATTCTGACTATTGCGTATGACATCATCAAATGCAGAACAAAACTCTGGTGTAAAAATAAATTCATTGATGAATTCTTTTATCCGATCAACAATTTGACCTCTTCGATGAATATCATCGATCTCATCGAGTCCATCTAAAAGAATCAATGCATGACCGTGATCGATAAATTCACCAAAGAGATTTTCTTTGTCATTAGAAAGATTATTTATATAATCATATAATGTTTTAGATTGATTTTCATAAAGCCATGTGGAGAATTCAGTTAAACGAATTAAAATTGGAAAACGATTTGGAACATAATGATTTTCATTTAAATTCACTTGTTCATCATTGTTACAAATTGCTTCAGCAAAGATACACAATATCCATCGAAGAAGTGTAGATTTTCCACTTCTTGGATCACCTAAAATAACAATCCACCGATCATATTCTAAAAGTGTTTCAATTGTTTTTGATTCACCAAATCCAGACAATTCACTTTCGATCGAAGGGAAAAATGTGTTTGAATCACGATTGGCTGTTCGACATAGTTCAATAGTTGTACTGAAATGATCTTCGATATCTGCTAATAAATGTTTTGAACAATCAATTTTTATATCAATGCGTTGTAATTGTTCTTTAACTGATATTTCATTTAATTGACAATTTTCAAGGACAAAATCATTGATATTTTCTATCAAATCGTCGATTTGTACTTTTGAATAAACATAAATACAATTATGAAGATATTCATTGACGAGTTTTGCTTTTTCATTTACTAAATCTTTGAAAATCTTTCGTTTTCCAAATTTATGTTGAAATTGTATTTCACGTTGCATTCGTTTCTTCTCATTTGTAATTTTCTTCAAAAAATTATTCCAATTTTCCCCCATACTTGTTTCACCATTCGGTCCTTTGAGCGCATAGATTATATCATCGTATAGATTAATCCAATAATCTTCCAGAAGTTTTTTATTATTACTCATTACACGATCTAATTGTCGACAAAATAATTCAGTCCATTCATTTTCTGTTGAGTTTAGTTTGATAAATAGGTCACGAATATCCATTAAAGTATGTCCATGGATGACATGTTTCAATGTGTCTTTTTCTAATAGATAATCGATTGAGTTTATTGCACGTGCAATTATCTCATTCATATCTTCTTCAATAATAAATTAATATCCCTTTCACACAAAAACTAAACAAAATTAATCTCTTTTTAAGTCAATGCTCATTCACATCGAATATGTGATGTACCAATCAAAAAGGAACAGAGCCTCTGTGAAGTAATCGATATTTATACAGGAATTTCTTGTGTTCTTGAAGATGTCAGCATTGTATAAACGCAGTTGACACACATAGAGCTCGAACAGACAGAAAAAGGAATTAACTTAATCTGAGGATGAGCGTACTTCTTATTCATTCACATTCTAGTTGTTAACGTAAAAGTGTATTACGAACATAAATAAAAAATAACCAGTTAGTCTTTTGCTAAGCAAGTTCAGTCATAACACGAACACGTTTAGGTATAAAAGTAAGACATGTTATATATCCACATGAGATAAATTTTGATCCACTATCAATAAATGCAACTTGTTATAGCATTCTTGTTACAATCATCACAATATATCGTGCATTTCTCATGTTTCAATTATATCTATAAGCATCATTATAGAATTGAATCATACTTGCATACGATTTGCATCAACTCTTTGACATTCCTGTGTCGTAGATGTCACCAATCGGGAAGGCGTCAAAACTATCGTAAAATGATGATAGATTTGTACACTTAGGAGAGCCTAATTAAGATAAAAGATAGTTAATTATCATTTGCTCACACACTGTATAAAACAATGATGATTTTCTAGTCAATCGTTATCAACTTCGATTTCACTACATAATATGAAATTTTAGCGAATTTCGAAACTAAAATCACATTAATATCCGTTCATCGGTACATCTTGTACAGAAGAGTTAAAGAACGAACAATGAATTTCTTATTTTATCGTACATAATACACAAGAATCGATATAGCTCAATGCTAAACAATCAAAAGTGTCTCTTAATTATAACTACTCACAACAAAGATAATCGAACCTTTTCACAAAAGCATCTGTTTTTCCCTCTTCTTCTTAATTTATGTTGTCTTTCCAAGCACTGTTCCACATTCAATTCATATTTTCAGTTAAGTCTTTTTCGTTGAAAGATACTTAATTAATTATTCAACGTCATCTTTCTTTCGACAATACAATTGTTATTATTTTATTCTACTACCTATTGATGGTGCATTGCAATCGGTACTTTGATCTCTTGAATTATAGAAACGTCACAAACGTGGACATACGCACACCTTTCTAGACTATTCTATCCGGTTTTTTCTCAATGTACAAATTTAAGTTTATCCCTCGAGCGAAAGATTTCGCTGGGTTGTCAACTTGAAAATCGTTTTATCATTTTGACAAACGATGAAACTTTATATAATCACAAAATCATGAACCGTTGCAGATATTCGAAGTCTTTGAGAAGAATTAAAAATGAGTCGTTTCATGCATCAAACAGATCAAAACTACCGAGAGTGAATCTGTACGAAAATTCTTCGAAATGCGTTATTAATTGTTTCGAAGTATGAAAACAAATGGCGAATGTATCGACATTAACTTATTCCGCGAAATCTTGCACAATGAACTTTCCAACAAACCTTATGACAAATGTTTATTATGTTTCCTTAACAAAACAAACCAAACATATTGAGAGTGAGCGTCGCTTGCGTCATGAAAATCTCTCATCGTTACTATGGTGAAGATTGCAATATTTTTCTCACTATTTAACAATGCAGTCTGCTATCGATCCTATTCATAGTTTTTAATCCACTTGCTGCTGTAAAGTGACCGAATAAAGGTGACCTACCCAAATATATATTTTACTTCGATAAAATAACTTCAATAGAGGGGTGAGGGTAAAGTTGAATATGAGATTAAAAAAATACTGTTACCCTCAAGACATAGTCGAATATATGATGAGAATGACATGATACATGATAAATATATTTTTCAGTCGGAGAAAGTTATAATGATTCTTCGATTTGGAGCAGAATAAAAGAGTGAAACCGATAAAACATATTTTATCTCAAGTCAATAGAAGCTTTTTTTCCCTCATTTATTCATCTGATATAAATATTTTGTGCTGAGTTAAAAAATATTCTGATTTCATTCTTCGAAAAACATGTCCGAGAACATACAAGCAGCTAACTGTGAAGGTCACTGGGAAGAAAAAGAATTTCTCCTTGAAAGAGTAAGTTTCAAATGAAGAAACTTACGTATTATTCTTCTTCATTCGTACTCCGATAGTCAAGTGTTGACGACAATACTCCACTTGGCTTTGCGATTGCCGGTGGCAATGATTTACCAATTGTTAAGAACTTCATATATATTATTGTAGTTCGTATCATTAAAAATGGATTAGCGGATATTGATAAACAGTTGAAGTGAGTGAATGTCTGGATGCCAGAGATTGATAATGAATTTGTTTTCGTAGACTGTACGATATAATCTTACGCGTAAATGAAACTGATTATTCAAATATTAAACATCGAACAGCTATTGAGACATTGAAAATGTCGGGAAAGCAAGTTTCATTAGTAAGTCTTACTTTCGATAATTTTTTTATTTTATGTTATGATATCTGTTTTTTACTTATCACATGTAGCGAATTCGTCGCCTTAAATCTCAATTTATGCAAACTATCGAGTTAGAACATCAAAATGGAAAACTAGGGATCGCAATAGAAGGTGGTATTGGAAATGAATATTTCAAAGGGTTTGTCTAGAATTTCTTATATCACGATTCATAAGAAACTTTCAGAGATCATGGTGTGTTTGTTACTCATATCTACAATCAAATTAGCAAAGAGTTGAATATTGGTGATCGATTAATAGAAATCTCATCCAAAGTTAGATTTATGATAAGTCTTTTGTTCTTTTTGTAAGTTCTCATTGAATAATTTTTAGAAAAACACGTACGATCTACGATTTGTCACACATAATGAAGCTCGACAACGAATTGGGTTAGCATGTTCAGATAGTCAGAAAGTGAATTTAACTGTTAGTAATCGTGCGCGAGCGTCGACAAGGTAAATTGATCAAAAAAGATTATATTTGTAAACTTGACGAGCAATTTGTTCAGGCTCACTAGAAAATCAAACATTCTGCATCCGGGTCAGAATAATCTTCGCGGTACGAAAGACGAAAGTAAAAATTAAATGTTTTAGTTTATTTCACTCATATATATATATCATTCCCTTCAGTAGGCAGAAAAGATAACCCAGTGATTTCAGGTCAAGTTCAATATGATGAACGTAATTATCGAAACCAAGGAAGTAATAATATATGATGTTAAATTAAGAGAATAACTTAATTCCTGCTTTATTTCTATCTATGAAGCCTCCCTTTCAAGCAATGAAAGTAACTATAAAATGATTTCTGATAGCAAAATAGTACCGCTGCGCAAGGATATAAATGAACAAATACGAATTCAGTCATTTGATTTCGAAGGTAAATTATGAAATTTTAAATCTGGAACTACATTGGACACTTTTGTCATATTATTCATTTAAGATTATCAGCGATATGAAAGTTACAATAAATCACATGCGATTGGCTATCCCACGGAAAGGGCAGTATTGTCGCCTACTCCTCTTACGGCCGATTTGCAAATTCATCTTGCAGTAGCTCAAAAGACCGGTGTATTACAGTTTGATCAAAAAAATCTAAAAGAAGTAATTCTTATATAGATTTTATTTCACATTCTTCTTCATTAAAAGATTCCACCTGAAATCTGTTTGATGTCTGGCTTGCGTACTCTGTCTTTAAATAGTAACGACATCCGGCTGCTTCCGGATAATTTAAGAAACTTGATCAGTTTGAAGAATCTATTTCTAAAATATAATCATATTGGTAAACTATAATTTATCATATTATATTCTATGGCAGAATGTTTGTTTAGAATCTCTATCTTCAATTATTTTTAATCATCATTTATCCAAATTAGAGATTCTTCAATTAGATGGCAATCTCCTATATTCTCTACCTAGTTCATTTTCTTATTTGGCTACACTGAAACAACTAAATCTTTCGAAAAATAGATTTTCTACAATTCCTCAAGCAATCTTATATTTACCGAATTTACAACTGCTCGATCTGTCCGGTAACCGTATCAGAGAAATTAGGGATGAAATCGAAAGTCTCGAAGTAGATGAGCTAAATTTAAATAACAATCAAGTAACTCTCTTGCTAAAGTAATTATATCGATATTTCTTTACTTTTTTTCCTGTTTTTAGATTTCTCAAATTTCAACAAATATATCAAAATGTAAACGACTGAAAATTTGCCGATTAGACAATAACGAACTTAAGTTAAAATCGATTCCTACTTCGTTATTAAAAAACTCTACTGTATTTCAACTGAATATTAACGGTAATTTGTTTGAACAAAAACAACTTCAACTACTCGAAGGTTATGATGATTATGAAAGACGATATACAGCAAATCAACACAAAAGAGATGCAACTGCGATACTTGCATCCATGAAATGATACAGTCTGCTAAATTTCTGTGACAAGAATATAGTGTATGTCAAATCAATGTGAGTGATCTTAATACAAAAAATAACATGTTCATTCTCGTGATATAATTACTGAGATATAGTTATAAATTTATAAGAAAAACCCACCCGTTCACATCCTCAAGGTAGCTTTGATATTAAGAAAAGCAAGAGTATATCGCACAAAGTAAAAAACATCAGGTCACGGAGGGGTAGAATTCGAGTTAAAGAAACGTTCTGACCATTCGTACCAACCAGAATCGAGGACAGTGAGGATTTCAGCTAGGTTTAATTCATCAGCAAAAATAACGGCTACTCTTGCTCGCCAACCGGTTCCACACATGTAGATCAATCGTTTGTAGCGTCGATTATTGGAATTGCTTTGTCGCATCAATTCGAGATATTCTTCCAATTCTTGCCAAGTTAAATTTCCATCGAGTAGATCGAACTGAAAATGTGGAATACGACCAGCTATTTTGACGTATGAATAACCGGTAACTTCTCCGGAATACTCTCGATAAGTTCGAACGTCGATAAATTTCGTTGCTGAACAGGAAAATTGGCTAATTAATGTAGTTAAAATCCATCAGTAGATATTCTAGATAATTTTCATGGATTTCGGATGAAATTTGTCAAAAGCAAATTTAAAGAACTTTCGCAAAATAAACTTACTTATCTGAATTGCTATAACCTGCATCAGCTGGTCCTCCAGTGCACCATTCTTGAAATAATCGTTTTGATTTATAGATGATAAAAGGTGGCCAAAGAAAACCGGTTGCTGAACCACAAAGCATCACGGTTATATATGCTTTACCACCAGTTCCACCTTCAGTTCGATATGGATTGATTGTTTGTCTATGAACGAGTACTTTGGAATAACCAACACTGTCAGACATCCCTGTGATTTAATCCAAAAGGAACTGATGTTCGATAGTAAAAAAATGAGTATCGTTTTACCAGTCTCATCGCAATTAAAGATTTGACCTGGTCGATTGACCAGGTCATTATCATTGATGATCTTAGTTAGTAAATCATGCCAACCATAGACTTGTTCGATAGTTACTGATGCACGTTTTTTTTCTAGTGGACGTGACTTTTTGAGAACCAAATTTCGATGACGTTTAAGAAATGAACGAAACCAGTCATATGATGGTGCTCCCGATGGGAACAAGTGACTTTTATTCAGACTAGTAGCATATTGCTTTGCCAAATCCAAGAACTCTTCGGTCGATAAAGGTTTTCCCCAGCTCTTCAAATGAGAAATAGTTTCATATTTTTATGAAGAAAACAACACACATTACTTGTAAAACCAAAGCTGTTTCTTCGAGGCATTGCTCTTCTGACTTGCTAAATTTGGTGGGACGACCGGTTTCTTGATAAATAGTCAGATTGTTTACGTGTGAATTTAGAGTTGTATAAGGAACATGGAAATAATTTGCAGCATTTCGGATACTTCGACTTCCATTTTCTACCGCCTCGAGAGCAAGTTGAAAGTCATTTTCAATATACGTTTTTTGTAGGTTTTTCTTAATATATTTTCTTGGCATTTCAAGAAATTACGTTTCGAAATTTTGTTGAAAAATGAGAATAGATTAAGTTATATTCAGTTTTATTGATTAACGGACAAGTATATTTATATATGTATAATACAATGAACAGAACGAAACAAAAAAACGAATGAACATGTCAAAATCACAGTTTCTTATTGGTCCTTCACATTCATTCAATGAGTAATAGAACGAAAATGACAGTTAGTATATGAATGATATTTACGAGATTTATTTTTCGATCCATGAGTGGATAAATACCGAAAATTTATCTATGATTTCATTACACTTAGCACGCTTATTCTTTCTTCCAACAAACGATTAAAACCATAAGAATTTTCATTGTTTCGTTTGAAAAAGCAACTGTAATGAAAAAGCATATAAGAATAACTTCCTGCATTCATACATCGTACAGCATTAATGGCATCTGTACATGATGATAGTTGATTTTATGTGCGAAGATAGGAAATAGTTAGCTGAACAATTCTTCTTAAGTTAATACTGGTCAATATTGCATGCTAAAGACGGTAGAAATTTTTTAAATTTCCGTTAGCTGAAATAATCCGAGTGATCCGAATTACCCCATGCAGTTATTACGAGTGATACGAATTACCCCACGTACTTACTATGAATGATCCGAATTACCCCAGANCATTGATGATCTTAGTTATTAAATCATGCCAACCATAGACTTGTTCGTTAGTTACTGATGCACGTTTTTTTTTCTAGTGGACGTGACTTTTTGAGAACCAAATTTTGATGACGTTTAAGAAATGAACGAAACCAGTCATATGATGGTGCTCCCGATGGGAACAAGTGACTTTTATTCAGACTAGTAGCATACTACTTTGTCAAATTCGAGAACTCTTCGGTCGATAAAGGTTTTTCCTAGCTCTTTAGATGAGAAATAGTTTTATATTTTTATGAAGAAAACAACACACATTATTTGTAAAAACCAAAGCTGTTTCTTCGAGGCATTGCTCTTCTGACTTGCTGAATTTGGTGGGACGACCGGTTTCTTGATAAATAGTCAGATTGTTTACGTGTGAATTTAGAGTTGTATAAGGAACATGGAAATAATTTGCAGCATTTTGGATACTTCGACTTCCATTTTCTACCGCCTCGAGAGCAAGTTGAAAGTCATTTTCAATATACTGTTTTTTGTAGGTTTTTCTTAATATATTTTCTTGACATTTCAAGAAATTACGTTTCGAAATTTTGTTGAAAAATGAGAATAGATTAAGTTATATTCAGTTTTATTGATTAACGGACAAGTATATTTATATATATAAAACAATGAACATGTCAAAATCACAGTTTCTTGTTGGTCCTTCACATTCATTCAATGAGTAATAGAACGAAAATGACAGTAAGTATATGAATGATATTTACGAGACTTATTTTTCGATCTATGAGTGGATAAATACCGAAAATTGATCTATGATTTCATTACACTTAGCACGCTTATTCTTTCTTCCAATAAACGATTAAAGCCATAAGAATTTTCATTGTTTCGCTTGAAAAAGCAACTGTAATGAAAAAGAGTATAAGAATAACTTCCTGCATTCATACATCGTACAGCATTAATGCCATCTGTACATGATGATAGTTGATTTTATGTGCGAGGATAGGAAATAGTTAGCTGAACAATTCTTCTTAAGTTAATACTGGCCAATATTGGATGCTAAAGACGGTCGAAATTTTTTAAATTTCCGTTAGCTGAAATAATCGGAGTGATCCGAATTACCCCAGTTAGGGTAACTCTGATCAACTTCAACATCTCTTTACCATTTTTGCTGGATCTTTTTTTTTGGTACATGGTATCAAGTTCATTCTTTCACCAGTAGATAGAGGACGTTCGGTTCTGCGGTTTGTGGTAGAAAAAATCACCCTTCTATCACGTATAACGGAGGAGAACGAAACAAAACATTATCAATTTTTGAAATGTTGATCCGAATTACCCCACCGGTCTCTACCCCATAAGGGTAAGCGGATTTATTGCTTTGGACTACGTTGGCTAATCCAGAAGTGAAAAATTGGTCTTTAGAAAACTAGGTGCCAATAGCTTTGTAGGCAACCTTTCGAGAAGCGGTTTTCACCAATCGATAGAGCATGTGATGAGGCAGATAATTTGGAAAGAAAGTTTTTCAAAATAACGAATAGTAAAAACGTTACAGCTGTTTTACTGAGTGTCACTGATTCTTTTTATGCAAACAGCCCTCCTTACTCTACTAAATTTTTTATTCTTCTCTATTATACTTTCAGCAATCACATAGACAAGAACATTGCCAGTCATATACTTACAATGATGACAATACTTTTTTTACTCTAATACCACATTACACTGACTGTTGCACATTTTGTAACATTACTATCAACACTAGCCATATTAAGTTCTCTCGGTCCACATCCATCAGTAAAAACGAACTCGTAGTTGAATAGAACATGATTGATATTGTAAAAATGAAGAAAGAAATGGTGAAGCAAANGACATTTCGCTTCACCATTTCTTTCTGCATTCTATAAATACTGCTCTCTCATGTGTAGAGAGCAGTCTCGTATGGAACGATTTTACTGATGTATGTGATCCTCAGTTCTCTATATATGATGACTGTACTGGATACATTATGATTACCATTGGATGTGGATCGAGAGAACTTAATATGGCTAGTGTTGATAGTAATGTTACAAAATGTGCAACAGTCAGTGTAATGTGGTATTATCCACGAGATAATTTAACATTAACAATTGAAACATCTTTCACTAAAAAACAACGACCATATGGGATTGAAATCGATAATGATGAATTACTCAAAGGTATACCACATGTTTATCGAATTCTTGATGGTCAAGAAACAGAAATCACAACAACTGTCAAGAGCATTATTCAAAAATCGGATAATAATTTCCAAGTCGTTCTCAAACTACAAGGCCCTCCAAAGCTCGTCGCCCTTCATGCCGATATTAATTATAAAGTGATTGAGATATAATCGGACCGTTTCGATTTTATTCTATCAATAGAATATAGTCGTTTGTTAAGTAATAATAGAATCATTCTATATGCTCAAATGAATCCGAGTATGTGTTGGTGAATGACGATTCTCAGTCCTACGAATTCTTAAAAAAAAAGAAAGTCATATAGGAATGTCGAACGGTATTTCAAACACACTAAGTTATATCTAGATTATGTTTCTTCAGATCATCACTCTATCAAAACTTTTTATGTAAATTCAAGTAATTGATAGTAGTTTTCTTACGAAAGACATAAATTATAGTTTTAATGTCAAGGAAGAAATCCATTAACGAATCTAAATCGATGGTTGCTCCTCTCCAACCTACTTTTAAAAAAATCAGTATGACAGAATTTTTTTCTGTAAAAATGTGTTGATTTTATGCATTGCGCAATTGCATTATAATGATTCTGTCTACTTCCTTCGATTGTAACGAGGGTCATATCGAAAAAAACTGGTAAAAAAACTGAAGTTCGTTTGTGTGTATGTATGTCCGTCGCAGGTCAAAGGACATTTTTCCGAAAAGCCTCAAAAGTTCATAATACGTCGTTTGAGAGGGGTTTTGAAAGTGAAAGTTGGTTGAGAAAGGGGCTGAGGTAGGGTGGGAGGTAAAAGAACGTTGAACCCTGGTGTCAAAGGTTCATAGTAAAATTTCATCATGAGTGGAAAAATGAGCAGGTGAAAGAAAGTTTTTCAAAAATCCATATGTGCAAGGAAATCGAAGCATTGGTGCAAGAAGTGAAAGAACCAAATGATCAGCTGGAGAAGAATGGAACATTGGAAGCCCTCGAGCAATAGTGGGTGACGTTGGCTGAAGTCTTGATGGCATGTCAGACAAGTCGGAGTGAATTGCTGACTAAAGAACGAAAGTGCGTCGATGTAATCAATAATAATAATATGGATTTGATTCATCTTGACTCGGAGCTTGACTAGACTGAAAATCCCGTTTAAATATATATTGATTTAATCCGAACATAAAACTTTTTTCTACTTTTGCATATCAATATAGCTTGCTTCGAACTATAATAAACTCTCTTCATAAACAGAGTAATTACTAGTAATGTTCATCAATGTCCAGTTCAGCAGTACTTAGGTTTCCATCTGGAGTAGGGGATTCTTATTGACTAACGTATTACGAAATATTTTTTTGCATTTCTATCTAATCAAAAGAAATATGACAATTTATTCAAGCATAAATCAAGTTCATTCATTAGCGCAGTCGCTTTGATTTCAAATATGAAGAAAGAAATATTGCTATCAAATAAATCCGTTATTCTGCCAAATGTGATATGAAAAGGGAAAAGAATATACATTAGATAAAAGTAAATCACTATTACCATCAAATCTCGTAGATTATTAGAATAAAGCTTCTCTTTATACATTGTATTAGTAATACCATTCGATCCTATATGTAATTTGGTAAGTGTCTTTAGGCACCAAATAAAAATCAACATATACATAAACTCCAAAATAAATTCACTTACGATGTTTTTCTCTAACGATACTCTGAAATATTCTACACCATCATTTCCAATTTGATTACAAGAAACATACATTTCTTTCAGTGTCTACACGTTATCACAGAATATATTCGTCAGTTGAAAACGAAGAAAAAATGACCTTGTTCATTTCCAGTGCATTGGCAAGATAGTGTGCTCCTTCTCTCAAGATTGTATTTCTAGTTAGATCCAGCACAATAAGTGTCTAATTATAGAACATCAGAATAAGACGTAAGGACAGAATCATGCTCACTGTGTTGTTCTGTAATGCATTGGCAATAGACTTTGCTCCACGAACTCGAATGTCATTCCTGCAAAGATTTAGTTTCGAAAGTGTCTCTGTCTGAACTAGTACATCAGCCATTAGTTGTGCCCCATCATCACTAATCTGGTTATCTGTCAAATCAATGTCTAATAGTGTCTAGAGATTCACGACAAATCGAATAGGCACTAGTTCAAGAGATGGGTGAGGATCACTTTGTTGATTTTCAACATATTTGCAAGATATTCAGTGCCTTGAACTCCAATTTGATCGTGTTTCACGACGAGTGTAGTTAGTGTCTGTTGAACGAAGAAAATCAGATGGAAATACCAACGATGAAAGAGAGAAATACTGTATTATCTTGTATGGCATCGGCAAGACTCTTTGCACCAGCTACTCCGATTCGAGCAGAGGATAGAATTAACGTTTTGAGTGTCTACAAGTGGTATACGTACGTAGTAGATTGTATACTTGCTAGTAGATATCAGAGTGTTACCCTGTTATCTCGCAATCCAGAAGCCAGATTCTGTGCACCATGATTGCCAATGACGTTTTTTCTTATGCACAATGTCGTCAATCTCTATATATATATGGATAATAATGTGTATTAGGAAAAAGTACCGATAAATTCAATATACCATGTTATTTCTTAAAATATCACCAAAATGATCTAAATCATCGTTCGATGATTGATTCTGTCTCATATTCAATGTAGTAAGTGTCTGTATAATGCAGATTAGAGATATAATTCGATGCTTCTTGAATATTACTGGATGATTAGCAATGGTAGAAAAAAAATATTCAATTGTTGTTTCAGCGATTGGCACCCATGTCATTGCTAACGTGATGAGTGTCTATATATATATATATATATATATATTGAAAGAAACATTTTCAGTACTAGAAATTTACTCGATGAGTTTGTGATTCAATCACTTTCGCATAATATATGTGTCTTGTTCTGGAAGCTTTGTCTGAATCAAATGTTTTTATAGTCTGTAACGAAAAGTGAATATAAAGATCTGAGATATTTGATGTTTCAACACAAACCGTATTGCTTGCTATTCCATCCACGAGTATTCTTATTTCAGGTTTATCAGGGTGATTGGCATTTAGATGTAGCGCTTTGAATGTCTGTTTGAGAAACAAAGGATATGTACAAGTTCGAATAAAAAAATAGGAAAGAAAATTACGGTGTTTGCACATAATCGATTATGAATATATCGTGTGCTCTTTAGAGAAGTTGCATTTCCATAGCAAAATATTTCAGAAATCGTCTACACGAGAGCTTCTGACTTATGTGAACATAGTCGACGAACAAAAGATTACCAGGTTTTTCTGGAGTGCTATGCACAGCGATTGTATGTCGCTCTTCTCTAGTTGGTTCTTCGATATATCTAAGGTAGTGAGTGTCTTTGTACGATGATGAAACAAATCAAAGATAAAGAAATTCAAGACAAGAACAGTACTAACTTTGTTGGTTTTTAACAGTTCAGTTAAATAGGCAACTCCATCACATCCGATATAATTATAACTTAGATTTAACGTATGCAGTGTCTGTTAATAGAAAAGCAGGTGAATAGAAGAGAAATCATAAACAAATGATACTTACAGTATTGTGTTTCAAGGCTTNAGTGTTCTTTACACGCTGAAAACGGCGTTTTTACCGTGTAAAGAACACTTTTTGATCGTGGAAACGCGTTTTTCGAAAACCTTGTCTGCTTGGGCAAAGCTCGTCGCCCTTCATGTCAATATTAATTATAAAGTGATTGAGATATAATCAGACTGTTTCGATTTTATTCTATCAATAGAATATAGTCGTTTGTTAAGTAATAATAGAATCATTGTATATGCTCAAATGAATCCGAGTATGTGTTGTTGAATGACGATTCTCAGTCCTACGAATTCCTAAAAAAAGAAAATCATATAGGAATGTCGAATGGTATTTCAAACACACTAAATTATATCTAGATTATGTTTCTTCAGATCATCATTCTATCACAACTTTTTATGTAAATTCAAGTAATTGATAATAGTTTTCTTACGAAAGACATAAATTATAGTTTTAATGTCAAGGAAGAAATCCATTAACGAATCTAAATCGATGGTTGCTCCTCTCCACCCTACTTTTAAAAAACCAGTATCACAGAATTTTTTTCTGTAAAACTGTGTTGATTTTATGCATTGCGCAATTGCATTATAATGATTCTGTTTACTTCCCTCGATTGTAGCCTCAAAAGTTCATAATACGTCGTTTGAGAGGGGTTTTGAAAGTGAAAGTTGGTTGAGAAAGGGGCTGATGTAGGGTGGGAGTTAAAAGAACGTTGAACCCTGAGGTCAAAGGTTCATAGTAAAACTTCATCATGAGTGGAAAAATGAGCAGGTGAAAGAAAGTTTTTCAAAAATCCATATGTGCAAGGAAATCGAAGCATTGGCGCGAGAAGTGAAAGAACCAAATGATCAGCTAGAGAAGAAGGGAACATTGGAAGCCCTCGAACAATAGTGGGTGACGTTGGCTGAAGTCTAGATGACATGTCAGACAAGTCGGAGTGAATTGCTGACTGAAGAACGAAAGTGCGTCGATGTAATCAATAATAATAAAATGGATTTGATTCACCCTGACTCGGAGCTTGACCAGACTGAAAATTCCGTTTAAATATATATTGGTTTAATCCGAACACAAAACTTTTTTCTACTTTTGCATATCAATACAGCTTGCTTCGAACTATAATAAACTCTCTTCATAAACAGAGTAATTACCAGTAATGTTCATCAATCTCCAGTTCAGCAATACTTAGGTTTCCCTCTGGAGTATAGGATTCTTATTGACTAACGTATTACAAAATATATTTTTGCATTTCTATCCAATCAAAAGAAATATGACAATTTATTCAAGTATAAATCAAGTTCATCCATTAGCGCAGTCGCTTTCATTTCAAATATGAAGAAAGAAATATTGCTATCAAATAAATCCGTTATTCTGCCAAATATGATATGAAAAGGAAAAAGAATATACATTAGATAAAAGTAAATCACTATTACCATCAAATCTCGTAGATTATTAGAATAAAGCTTCTCTTTATGCATTGTATTAGTAATATCATTCGATCCTATATGTAATTTGGTAAGTGTCTTTAGGCACAAAATTTTAAAAGAATCAACATATACATAAACTCGAAAATAAATTCACTTACGATGTTTTTCTCTAACGATACTCTGAAATATTCTACGCCACCATCTCCAATTTGATTACAAGAAACATACATTTCTTTCAGTGTCTACACGTTATCACAGAATATATTCGTCAGTTGAAAAGGAAGAAAAAATGACCTTGTTCATTTCCAGTGCATTGGCAAGATAGTGTGCTCCTTCTCTCAAGATTGTATTTCTAGTTAGATCCAACACAATAAGTGTCTAATTATTGAACATCAGAATAAGAGATAAGGACAGAATCATGCTCACTGTGTTGTTCTGTAATGCATTGGCAATAGACTTTGCTCCACGAACTCTAATGTCATTCCTGCAAAGATTTAGTTTCGAAAGTGTCTCTGTCTGAAGTAGTACATCAGCCATCAGTTGTGCCCCATCATCACTAATCTGGTTATCTGTCAAATCAATGTCTACTAGTGTCTAGAGATTCACGACAAATCGAATAGGCACTAGTTCAAGAGATGGGTGAGGATCACTTTGTTGACTTTCAACATATTTGCAAGATATTCAGTGCCTTGAACTCCAATTTGATCGTGTTTCACGACGAATGTAGTTAGCGTCTGTTGAACAAATAAAATCAGATAGAAATACCAACGATGAAAGAGAGAAATACTGTATTATCTTGTATAGCATCGGCAAGACTCTTTGCACCAGCTACTCCGATTCGAGCAGAGGATAGAATCAACGTTTTGAGTGTCTACAAGTGGTACATGTACGTAGTAGATTGTATACTTGCTAGTAGATATTAGAGTGTTACCCTGTTATCTCGTAATCCAGAAGCCAGATTCTGTGCGCCATGATTACCAATGACATTTTTTCTTATGCACAATGTCGTCAATCTCTATATATATATATGGATAATAACGTGTATTAGGAAAAAGTAACGATAAATTCAATATACCATGTTATTCCTTACAATATCACCAAAATGATCTAAATCAGCGTCCGATGATTGATTCTGTCTCATATTCAATGTGGTAAGTGTCTGTGTAATGCAGATTAGAGATATAATTCTATGCTTCTTGAACATTACTGGATGATTAGCAATGGTAGAAAAAAAATATTCAGTCGTCGTTTCAGCGATTGGCACCCATGTCATTGCTAACGTGAAGAGTGTCTATATATACATATATATTGAAAGAAACATTTTCAGTAGTAGAAATTTACTCGATGAGTTTGTGATTCAATCACTTTCACATAATATGTGTGTCTTGTTCTGGAAACTTTGTCTGAATCAAATGTTTTTATAGTCTGTAACGAAAAGTGAATATAAAGATCTGAGATATTTGATGCTTCAACACAAACCGTGTTGCTTTCTAATCCATCCACGAGTATTCTTATTTCAGGTTTATCAGGGTGATTGGCATTTAGATGTAGTGCTTTGAATGTCTGTTTGAGAAACGAAGGATATGTACAAGTTCGAATAAAAGAATAGAAAAGAAAATTACGGTATTTGCACATAACCGATTATGAATATATCGTGTGCTCTTTAGAGAAGTTGCATTTCCATAGCAAAATATTTCAGAAATCGTCTACACAAGAGCTTCTGACTTATGTGAACATAGTCGACGAACAAAAGATTACCAGGTTTATCTGGAGTGCTATGCACAGCGATTGTATGTCGTACTTCTCTAGTTGGTTCTTCGATATATCTAAGGTAGTGAGCGTCTTTGTACGATGATGAAACAAATCAAAGATAAAGAAATTCAAGACAAGAACAGTACTAACTTTGTTGGTTTTTAACAGTTCAGTTAAATAGGCAACTCCATCACATCCGATATAATTATAACTTAGATTCAACGTACGCAGTGTCTGTTAATAGAAAAGCAGGTGAATCGAAGAGAAATCATAAACAAAAGATACTTACAGTATTGTGTTTCAAGGCTTGCACAAGGTATTGAACACTAACTGCGTCGAGCCAGCTATTACTAAGATTCAATGTGATCAGCACCTATAGACCAATGAGAAAAAAATATGCAATAATCATAACAAAAGTAGTTTTGCTTACTGTATTTTCCCGTAAAATATTAGCGAGATGGATTATTTCTGGTGTAATAATACTATTATAACGTAGATCGAGTTCTTCGATTGTCTTAATGTATAATAAATGATTGAGAAGATTAGAATGATGAGAAAATATGAATACTGTATTTTTCTGTAAAGCATCAGCAATATATTCGGCGGCCACATGGTTAAAATGAATTTTGTTCAACGAGAATTTCGTTAATGACTAACAAGAAAAGAAACCATGCGTAAAGATCAGAAAGAGAAATTCGAACATCACCTGATCATTTTTTATTCTGCTCACCGCTTTAACAACTAAATGACAAGAATCTCTATTTTCCTCTAAGGATACTTTGACTGGAGACGATTGTAAAGATTCAAAGAAATATTGTGCCCCAGGAATACCAATTTCATTGCGAGTGAGATCGAGCTTTGCCAGAGTCTAACGAGCAAAATGACTAGGCAAAAAATAAGAACAAGAATTACTTTATTGTGTCGCAATGCTAAAGCGAGATCTCGTGCACCATCATCTCCAATTGCGTTACTTGCAAGACTAATAATCTTGAGTCCCTAGACATAATGAAAAAGCAATTTTGTCTAGAACGAAGTCGAAAAAACATAGATGATCACATTGATTTTGTTTTGTAACACTTGTGCTAACGACTTTACGCCGGCATCTCCAATCCCGATGTTACAAAGATAAAGCTCTTCCAGTGTCTGAGAAAGAGGTAGAAAATCTACAAGTGACACATTGATAGAACACAAAAATGAATGAAGATCACCATATTCTTTTGTAGCCCTTCGGACAACGAACACAATCCGTTGTCTCCTAATCCGTTACATCCAATATTCAGTATAGTGAGTGTCTACATACGAGGACACAAATGATAAGAAAAACTAAAAATGATAATAACTTTGTTAGTCTCCAACATATGAGCTATATGACAAGCTTCTTGCGCTTTAATATTAAATTCTTGAAGATTCACTGATGTCACTGTCTGTTAATATTGAAAGTAGATGATGTTACAAATCTCACAGGAGAATGAAATTTACGGTATTATTTTGTAATGCATCAATAATACGTTGTACACTAACATTTTTTATCCAATTTCTGTTTAAATACATCATGACAATTGGCTAAATTTCAAAGAAAAACTATATGAACATATCATGAAGACAAAGAGTTCAAGTTTACATGATTATTTTCCAACACAGGGACGAGATATTGTATATCTTCTTCATGGACGTACCCGTGAGAGATATCTAATTTGATGAGTGTCTACATAACATGAGGGCAAAAGTATGAAAGTGAATTCATAATGTTGTATCAAACGAAATATTTTGTCTTTTCATTATAAAAATGATGAAGATAGACTTACATTAGTGAACTTGTGATTAGATAATCGTTGAATTGAATGATAGTTATTGTTTTTAGCTGAGATTGCATAACACACGCCTCCACAATGGTAAAAATGAAAACTTATTGGTATTGTATAAAGTAAAATAGTTGAACGTCCGAAGACATATTCACAACCAATAAACCAACGTTTTTCATTCACCCAAAATGGTTCTAGAAATGGATCAAGAATTGATTGAAGCTTAATTTTATCATCTGGTGCAATTTTGTAGGAGACTAAAAATTCACATGTGTCAAGGAAATTCAATTCAGTGCGGATAAATTTTTCCCAATCATAAAGATCAACAACCGAGTTGAATATCTTTTTCCAATAACGTAACTTAAGATGACGAAGTTTAGGTGTTGCTAAAATTAATGATCTAAGGCATTCTATCGGCACTGAACACTCAGTAATGATCAAACATGTTAATGGTGAAATGAATGAGATGTTAGATGATGGTGTACACATTTGTTCAGTGTTCATAATACATTCCTCCAGTTCGAGTATTTTTAGACAAGGTAATTGATGAAGAAGAAAACGATATTCACTATAAAGACATTTTCTCAATTTCAAATACGTTAATTTGCATGGAATAGGCCATGACATATTTTCAGCATTGTATTCTAACCATTTACAGTACAATTTTTGAACATTTAATCTCGTTAACATTGATGAAAGCATAGAAAATATTGCGTAATTTGGTCTATTGATGAAATCGATTTTGAGTGAGATCAGTTCTATGGAATTTTCATTCGTGAAAAGATTTTTCGAATATTCGTCTTTCACTTCAGGAATTCCCAAATATCGAAGTCGTGTAAATCGAGTCTTATATTTATGAACCAAGCTATTAAATGTCTCATACCATCTTTCCATCAAGTCCATATGCAAAGAAATGATAGAATGGTTTGGCACAATACGAAGTAGATGTTCCACAGACGTTATATTTCTCTCAGTAAAGTTAAGATGAAACCGATTATATCGATAAACAATAGTACGAAGTCTTTTGCAAACACGACCAAGTGTAAGTAGAATCGTTTCGATATCACAATAATCAAATATATGATGAAGTATTTCGGTAGGTAGATTGATTAAATATGTGTTTTCCATCTGAAATAATAAAACTACTGTAGAAAAAAATATTCTGAGAGTGACTGCGTCGACTAAGATCTTCTAACAACTGTTTGTCGTATCTTCTGTATACAAATAACAATGTGTTTTTTCTCGTTCTTCATCATATTCTTTATTCTTCTATTACACTTTATTTTATATCAAAATTGTTTTTAACTAACGCTGTCGGTTTTATCTTTCGAGCCTATTCATCACTTGGGTGCTGACGACTCTGGAAAAATAGGTGTTACAAACAGAATGAAAATGATTATTTGAATACCGGTTTAGGTTTCAGAACTTGTTGACTAGAGTTGAAGGACAGATGTAAGGCATCGACGCATCTAGTCGAGACGTTACCTGTCTTTCGTCAATGCAGCGAGATCAAACATCAGTATTATTGCACGCTATGTGCTGAGTGTTCTCGAATTCTCTCTCATAGATAGATTGATTCATGCGAGTCCTTCACGTTACGAACAGTAGACTACGACAGAGATAAAGGAGCTGCTAGAGAGAACCGGCTAACACAAATTAAACCCTGGATTTTCTTCTATTTTACGTTTCGATTTCGTTTTCTTTGGTCGAAATTATCTCGACATCGATTTTTCGATATTTTTTCTTTCGGCCTTTTCATGGCCATTCGCCCAGTGATGTGAATGATTTGACCAGTTTCATAGTTTCTCAATGTGATACACTTAATCTGTGGTTCCCAAAGCCACGAAGTTTCATCGTCGGATTTTATTGATTATGGGAAGAAATCATTTGCAAGTAGAGAACTGAATGTGTTAAAGATGTGTTTATTATCAGTCATTTCTTGAATCTGGTCTAGAAAATGAAATGCTCTGACCCTCGTGTTGATGATGGAAATATTTTCTTCATATTCACATCTTCATCATACGTGAACATGTACATCAAATGAAAAATTGAATGTAGTGAAAGTCGAAACTTGCTCTTTTATATCATTGAATTCTCTATTCTCCAATTGTGTAATCTTTCTTGAGGATCTAGATATGATGATGAAGAAGAATAGCGACACTCACAGTGTAGCAAATCCAAATAATATTCACATTCAACTTGAGTCAACACTTCAAGATTTTCCCTTCTCAGTGAAATCGCACATGTGCAATAACCGACCCTCATTCTTTTTTGTTTCTTCTCTGCTTGGCAACTGATGGAATGTTATTTGATGGATATGACGTGGCGTCTGGGTATTTTTGTGCTAATAAAGTAAGTATTGTTTTTAAAAGATTCATTCTTTCATTCGTTAACAATGTTGGAATAAGGAGAGTGTGGAATATTTTTCTTAAACGTATTTGTAATGCCATCACGTAAAACAAATCTGTAGATCATTCATGTAGGATATCTTGGACACGGATTCGCACATGAGTGTACTCCAACTCTGATCACATTTGTTCCAGGTGAGAATCGGTAGAGTTCGTCGAGTTGCATCTGGAATAAGTGTTGGAATGGTAGCCAGAAGTGAAGAAACGAATCCGTGTTCAAGATATTCTACATGATCATTCGCTGTTCTTTTTCATAACGATTGACAAATGTTTAATAATCTCAGTTGAATATCTTCTCTCTTTAGTATTAATTTGTACTCTCGTATGGTGTGGAATCAGTGAATAAGAAACGTGTCATTTTGATTATACATCAATGGAATCAAACGGTACACATTCTCATAAACGAAAATTAGCCGCTGAAATCAGTTCATCTATCGATCACGATCAAATGTTGAGATATCAAGAACTTGAAACGCATGTCAAAAATATTCTTGAAGAACTTCAAATAATCAAAAACGAAAATCGAACTCTGAAATCACAGATTGATAAACTTCAACAACAATATGATCAACTAGCATCACAAAATCAGAAAGAGAATTCCGAATGGAATCAATATTCTCATAAAATACATTCTGAGAATTCTGAATACGACACATTGGTCAAACAATTTGAAGAACGTTGTGATTTAGTTGAATCAAGCAACCAAACTCTCACGGAAAGACTCGATAGTTGTCAGCAAACATTTGAAAATCAACTCACCAATCTTCAACAACAATTGAATAACTTTGGAATTCAAGATACAAAGTCTATTCAACAACAATCCGTAGACAAGGAAATGTCTTCATTTGATGAAAACAATGATGGTGGTGCGATTATTGAAGAAGCTCTGTGCACACCTTGTGAATCACAAATTTCATTATCCACTGATGAAATTCAATATGGATTATTCGATATTTGTGAGAAGTATAAGGTTATTGTCTTGAAAGAGAAAGATAAATTAAAATTATTTGACTATTATGAACAAACAGATGAACGTTCATGGGGAGAAGTTGGAAATAAAAATTTTGCCACGTGCATTCATTGGTGTTCGTTTCTTGATAAATTCTTAATTCTATACAGATTTGGTTTATATAGCTNAATGATGAGAAAATATGAATACTGTATTTTTCTGTAAAGCATCAGCAATATATTCGGCGGCCACATGGTTAAAATGAATTTTGTTCAACGAGAATTTCGTTAATGACTAACAAGAAAAGAAGCCATGCATAAATATCAGAAAGAGAAATTCTAAGATCACCTGATCATTTTTTATTTTGCTCACCACTTTAACAACTAAATGACAAGAATCTCTATTTTCTTCTAAGAATACTTTGACTTGAGACGATTGTAAAGATTCAAAGAAATATTGTGCCCCAGGAATACCAATTTTATTGCGAGTGAGATCGAGCTTTGTCAGAGTCTAAAGAGCAAAATGACTAGGCAAAAAGTAGAACAAGAATTACTTTATTGTGTCGCAATGCTAAAGCGAGATCTCGTGCACCATCATCTCCAATTTCGTTACTTGCAAGACTAATAATCTTGAGTCCCTAGACATAACGAAAAAGCAATTTTGTCTAGAACAAAGTCGAAAAAACATAGATGATCACATTGATTTTGTTTTGTAACACTTGTGCTAAAGACTTTACGCCAGCATCTCCAATCCTGGTGTTATCAAGATAAAGCTCTTCCAGTGTCTGAGAAAGAGGTAGAAAATCTACAAGTGACACATTGATAGAACACAAAAACGAATGAAAATCACCATATTCTTTTGTAGCCCTTCGGACAACGAACACAATCCGTTGTCTCCTAATCCGTTACATCCAATGTTCAGCACAGTGAGTGTCTACATACGAGGACACAAATGATAAGAAAAAATACAAATGATAATAACTTTGTTAGTCTCCAACATATGAGCTATATGACAAGCTTCTTGCGCTTTAATATTAAATTCTTGAAGATTCACTGACGTCACTGTCTGTTAATATTGAAAGTAGATGATGTTACAAATCTTACAAGAGAATGAAATTTACGGTATTATTTTGTAATGCATCAATAATACGTTGTACACTAGCATTTTTTATCCAATTTCTGTTTAAATACATCATGACAATTGGCTAAATTTCGAAGAAAAACTGCATGAAAATATCATGAAGACAAAGAGTTCAAAGTTTACATGATTATTTTCCAACACAGGAACGAGATATTGCACATCTTCTTCATGGGCGTACCCGTGAGAGATATCTAATTTGATGAGTGTCTAGATGACACGACGGCAAAAGTATGAAAATGAATTCATAATTTTGTATCAAACGAAATATTTTGTCTTTTCATTATAAAAATGATGAAGATAGACTTACATTAGTGAACTTGTGCTTAGATAATCGCTGAATTGAATGATAGCTATTGGTTTTAGCTGAGATTGCATAACACACGCCTCCACAATGGTAAAAATGAAAACTTATTGGTATTGTATAAAGTAAAATAGTTGAACGTCCGAAGACATATTCACAACCAATAAACCAACGTTTTTCATTCACCCAAAATGGTTCTAGAAATGGATCAAGAATTGATTGAAGCTTAATTTTATCATCTGGTGCAATTTTGTAGGAGACTAAAAATTCACATGTGTCAAGGAAATTCAATTCAGTGCGGATAAATTTTTCCCAATTATAAAGATCAACAACCGAGTTGAATATGTTTTGCCAATAACGTAACTTAAGATGACGAAGTTTAGGTATTGCTAAAATTAATGATCTCAGGCATTCTATCGGCACTGAACACTCAGTAATGATCAAACATGTTAATGGTGAAATGAATGAAATGTTAGATGATGGTGTACACATTTGTTCAGTGTTCATAATACATTCCTCCAGTTCGAGTATTTTTAGACAAGGTAATTGCTGAAGAAGAAAACGATATTCACTATAAAGACATTTTCTCAATTTTAAATACGTTAATTTGCATGGAATAGGCCATGACATATTGTCAGCTTTGTATTCTAACCATTTACAGTACAATTTTTGAACATTTAATCTCGTCAACATTGATGAAAGCTTAGAAAATATTGCGTAATTTGGTCTACTGATGAAATCGATTTCGAGTGAGATCAGTTCTATGGAATTTTCATTCGTGAAAAGATTTTTCGAATGTTCGTCTTTCACTTCAGGAATTCCCAAATATCGAAGCCGTGTAAATCGAGTCTTATATTTATGAACCAAGTTGTTAAATGTCTCATACCATCTGTTCATCAAGTCCATATGCAAAGAAATGATAGAATGGTTTGGCACAATACGAAGTAGATGTCCCATAGACGTTATATTTCTCTCAGTAAAGTGAAGATGAAACCGATTATATCGATAAACAATAGTATGAAGTCTTTTGCAAACACGACCAAGTGTGAGTAGAATCGTTTCGATATCACAATAATCAAATATATGATGAAGTATTTCGGTAGGTAGATTGATTAAATATGTGTTTTCCATCTGAAATAATAAAATTACTGTAGAGAAAAAATATTCTGAGAGTGACTGCGTCGACTAAGATCTTCTAACAACTGTTTGTCGTATCTTCTGTATACAAATAACAATGTGTTTTTTCTCGTTCTTCATCATAGTATTTATTCTTCTATTACGCTTTATTTTATATCAAAATTGTTTTTAACTAACGCTGTCGGTTTTATCTTTCGAGCCAATTCATCACTTGGGTGCTGACGACTCTAGAAGAATAGGTGTTACAAACGGAATGGAAATGATTAGTTGAACATCGCTAGTCAAGACGTTACCTGTCTCTCGTCAATGCAGCGAGATCAAACATCAGTATTATTGCACGCTATGTGCTGAGTGTTCTCGAATCCTCTCTCATAGATTAATCCATGCGAGTCCTTCACGTTACGAACAGTAGACAACGACAGAGATAAAGGAGCTGCTAAAGAGAACCGGCTAACACAAACTAAACCCTGGATTTTCTTCTATTTCACGTTTCGATTTCGTTTTCTTCGGTCGAAATTATCTCGACATCGATTTTTCGATATTTTTTCTTTCGGCCTTTTCATAGCCATTCGCCCAGTGTTGTGAATGATTTGACCGGTTTCATAGTTTCTCAATGTGATACACTTAATCTGTGGTTCCCAAAGCCATGAAGTTTCATCGTCGGATTTTATTGATTATGGAAAGAAATCATTTGCAGATAGAAAACTGAATGTGTTAAAGATGTGTTTATTATCAGTCATTTCTTGAATCTGGTGTAGAAAATGAACTGTTTTGACCCTCGCGTTGATGATGGAAATATCTTCTTCATATTCACATCTTCATCATACGTGAACATGTAAAACCAATGAAAAATTGAATGTAGTGAAAGTCGAAACTTGCTCGTTTATATCATTGAATTCTATTTTCTCTAATTGTGTAATCTTTCTTGAGGCTCTAGATAAGATGAAGAAGGATAGCGACACTCACAGTGTAGCAAATCCAAATAATATTCACCTTCAACTTGAGTCAAAACTTCAAGAGTTTCCCTTCTCAGTGAAATGGCACATATTCAATAACCGACCCTCATTCTTTTTTGTTTCTTCTCTGCTTGGCAACTGATGGAATGTTATTTGATGGATATGACGTGGCGTCTGGGTATTTTTGTGGTAATAAAATAAATATTGTTTTTAAAAGATTCATTCTTTCATGTGTTGACAATGTTAGAATAAGGTGAGTGTAGAATATTTTTCTTAAACGTATTCGTAAGGCCATCACGTAAAACAAATCTGTAGATCATTCATGTAGGATATCTTGGACACGGATTCGCACATAAGCGTATTCCAACTCTGATCACATTTGTTCCAGGTGAGAATCGGTAGAGCTCGTTGAGTTGTATCTGGAATAAGTGTTGAAATGGTAGCCAGAAGTGAAGAAACGAATCCGTGTTCAAGATATCCTACATGATCATTCGTTGCTCTTTTTCATAACGATTAACAAATGTTTAATAATCTCAGTTGAATATCTTCTCTCTTTAGTATTAATTTGTACTCTCGTATTGTGTGGAATCAGTGAATAAGAAACGTGTCATTTAGATTATAATACATCAATGGAATCAAACGGTACACATTCTCATAAACGAAAATTAGTCGCTGAAATCAGTTCATCTATCGATCAAGATCAAACTTTGAGATATCAAGAACTTGAAACGCATGTCAAAAATATTTTTGAAGAACTTCAAATAATCAAAAATGAAAATCGAACTCTGAAATCACAGATTGATAAACTTCAACAACGCTATGATCAACTAGCATCACAAAATCAGAAAGAAAATTCCGAACGGAATCAATATTCTCACAAAATACATTCTGAGAATTCTGAATACGACACATTGGTCAAACAATTTGAAGAACGTTGTGATTTAGTTGAATCAAGCAATCAAACTCTCACGGAAAGACTCGATAGTTGTCAGCAAACATTTGAAAATCAACTCACCAATCTTCAACAACAATTGAATAACTTTGGAATTCAAGATACGAAGTCTATTCAACAACAATCTGTAGACAAGGAAATGTCTTCATTTGATGAAAACAATGATGGTAGTGCGATTATTGAAGAAGCTCTGTGCACACCTTGTGAATCACAAATTTTATTATCCACTGATGAAATTCAATATGGATTATTCGATATTTGTGAGAAGTATAAGGTTATTGTCTTGAAAGAGAAAGATAAATTAAAATTATTTGACTATTATGAACAAACAGATGAACGTTCATGGGGAGAAGTTGGAAATACAAATTTTGCCACGTGCATTCATTGGTGTTCGTTTCTTGATAAATTCTTAATTCTATACAGATTTGGTTTATATAGCTNATTATCCACTGATGAAATTCAATATGGATTATTCGATATTTGTGAGAAGTATAAGGTTATTGTCTTGAAAGAGAAAGATAAATTAAAATTATTTGACTATTATGAACAAACAGATGAACGTTCATGGGGAGAAGTTGGAAATAAAAATTTTGCCACGTGCATTCATTGGTGTTCGTTTCTTGATAAATTCTTAATTCTATACAGATTTGGTTTATATAGCTTATCATTAAAAGAGAATCGGAAAACTTCACAAATGAATTTTGATGAATTAAGTCATATAAAGTATATAAAAGTTCATCCTCTGAAAGGTGATACACCAATTAGAGGAAATAGTTTTGTTGAATTATTACGTTATATAACATCATCACCGAATTTACCTGATTATTTATATTTGAATCGTGGCTATCGTCGAATTGAATTAATTAATACAAGTTCATGGAAAATCAAACGCGGTTGGTCAAAACAAGATTTGAATTATGATGATCAACATGAATTGAAATTAATAACACTTAGTTTCGATGGAAATTGTTTAGTAATGAATGTGAAATGGAATGATTGTGAACGATTTATTGATTTAAGAAAACATGATGGGCAATTAATTTTAATCAAAAGAATTCGAATGGAAAATGAATCATCAGCGTTACTTCATCGAATACAAATTCCATTTGAACAAGATTTTTGGTTAATTATTGATGATAATAGAAATCAACTTTATAAAGTATCCATTGATCCAAATGATGAAAGAATTGTACCAATAAAAACAAATCAGATTAAAGCAATTCAAAATGTTCCTTCTCATTTTCGATTTATTCCTAATCAAAAATATTTACTCGTTGGCGCTGTCATTGGGAATAGCACACAAAAACAAGGTGTATTCAAATTTTTTAGATTGCCTCATTCATCCTCAACACAGAATCAGAAATCGAACTGATTTCACAATTTCCTCGAAAGACTTAAACTTTTAGTGTTGTTCTTGTTTATTTCGAAATAAAATTCAAAGGAAACTTAAAATACATGTTCAATCTTTTCTCATGGTGAATATCCATAATGAGTTCCGTCCTTCTTTATTTCTCCATTTGCATCAACAGGATGATAGTGTGGATATTGACCAGGGCCATGTGCACTATGATGGATGGGCGATTGATGATGATTACTCGCTCTTCTAGCTTGTTCTTCAGCTTCTTTTCTACTAGGACACATTATGAAATGTAACATTGGTTCACCGCTTGGACCAGCTCTTCGATGAACATAACTCATTTTTCAATCAAATCGACTTATTACTTATAAAAGAGAAACAATGTTTAGATGCCTTCGTCGAATCTAANATTGACCAGGGCCATGTGCACTATGATGGATGGGCGATTGATGATGATTACTCGCTCTTCTAGCTTGTTCTTCAGCTTCTTTTCTACTAGGACACATTATGAAATGTAACATTGGTTCACCACTTGGACCAGCTCTTCGATGAACATAACTCATTTTTCAAACAAATCGACTTATTACTTATAAAAGAGAAATAATGTTTAGATGCCTTCGTCGAATCTAAACAAGAAAGTAACATTACTATTGAGAGTGAGGATGCATACTTTGAAAACAGTATTTTTAATAGAAATGTCTGACTAGCAGACGAGTGCTCTGAGTAGAATACACTCAGATCCTCATGGTGCTGGGATGGCGTTATCTATCGTCAAAGTCACTTGGGAATAGTTTCATGCAGGTTACCAATACACTTTCGACATTTTCATAGACATATGAAAGCTTCATTAAAAACTTAGTCTGCTTTTCACTGGGGAAAACCTCATCCCCATCCACAACCTCAAGATGATCAATCTGATTCTCCTATCGAAAATTTTCCTGTAAACGGACGGACAGACACATTAGCAAATTCTAATAATCTACTCACGTTTAGTTCGCAAGCTGCTAATGTAACTTGATGACTATGAAAATATTTAAACTTAATGGTAAAGCTGGTATTTTTCCTTTAATACAGGGAGGCATAACTCTCTCGCTCTTTCTTCCTTAAAGCAGGAAAAAACAACGCAGTTGTGCAATTGACAGGGTAAATACCCAATTACGATAAGAATGAAAAGAGAAAAATATTTGTCAGCCTATCATATAAGCAGAAAGTGAAAAAACCTTTAGTAACAAAAGTACATGTCGAAGGAAGGACAAAAGTCGAGAATCCCGAAGGCAATTTTGTCTATATCGAATTTTCAAAAGTTTCTCATTATCCATCATCATGGAGTAGCTGCCTAATTCGACTTATAATATAAGTGACCAATTCCTAGCACCCTTAGGAATAGAAATAGATTTACTTTTACTTATACATATATACACCCTCACACACACCCTCAAGATGGATAAAACTATATTTCATAATATACAGGTAAAATCATTCTGTTTTATTGATCATGACTAGAAGAATGACAAGATCTTATGATATAATTCTATCATTAATTGATGAAACAGACGATGATCTTCTAACATTAGAAATTCTTCTTTTAAAATTCTGTTCAAATGAAGAAGAATCAAATTTATGTTTTAATCATTTATATAAATATAAAAATCATCAACAATGTACAATTTTAATGATAGCTATATTGCAAAATCGACTCAATTTAATTCAAATGCTATTAACAAAATTTCGAAAATCAATTGATTTAGAATTTCGAGGTTCAATCAAATATAAAACTCATTATCGATGTGGTGTAACTGCATTATCAGCAGCAGTTTGTGTTGGAAATTTGCAAATAATCAAATTATTAATTGAAAATGGAGCTGATATTCAAACAAGAAATAATTATAATGAAACACCAGTATATTTAGCAACTGATCTTTGTAAATTTGATATTGTTAAATATTTAATTGAAGAAATACATGTTGATATTCATAGAATTACAAATGAAAATAATACATGTTTAAATATTGCAGGAATTCATGGTCATTTAAAATTAATTAAATATTTATTAGAAACAACTGATATAAATATTAATCATCAAAATAGGAATGGAGATACATCATTACATCTTGCAATTGAGAAAAATCATATAAATGCTGTTAAACTTCTTTTATCATATCAGAAAATTCGAATTGATATTGAAAATAATCAAAAAATGACTCCATTAGAAAGTGCTGCTGTTTGTTTACAGGAAGTAATTGTTAATTATATATTAAATTTAGAAAATTTAATTCAAATTCAAGATAAAATTTCAATATTAGAATTGTTAGGTGCATCATTTCTATGTAGATACACAAATATATCTGATTATAATAAAACTTATGAATATTTAAATCAAGCAATGAGATTAAGAATATCAAATGGAATTATTAAAATATCAAATCAACCAATTTCGGCTTATAAAAACCATATGGAATGTTTAACAATTGATGAACTTGAATCTATTCGTTATCAAGATGAAGTTCTACATCTTGAAGCATTAGTTATTTATGATCGTCTTTTATTATTAAAAAATGGTCTAGAATTACTTTATTGTATTGAAAATCAAGCTTTAATATGTATGGAAAATTCAGAATTTGATCGTTCGATTGATTTATGCATTCATGGATTGGAATTATCAATAATTAATGATGATATAAATAGAAACATTCAAAATATTGGTGAAAGAATGTTTCATATTTGTTTATTAATGAAAAGAATTAGTGAAATTTATTTGATAATATTTTCATTTAAATGTTTCGAGAATTTAATGACAAGATTCTTCGAAATTTTTTATTTAACAATTCATCAATTTCAACAACTTTATCAAAAAGTAATAGAAGCACAATACTCAACTGGAGCATTTTCTTCTACAGAATATTCTTTTGTAAAAAATGTTTTACCTTTAATTTATATTATTACAAAAGTAAAATTAAAACAAAATGAACAAATACAATTCTATGAATTAATTCAATGGATAAATCAGTTCTGTAAACATACATCTTCTTTTTCTGAAACACTTATACATTTCTGTTGTAGTGAAGCTTCGTATGTATAACGAAATTTACTAAATGAATTTCGAATTTTTTTCTTTATAGTTCATTTTGTCCGGACATTATTCAATTATTACTTCATTATGATTTTCATATAAATATATTTGATTGCAGAGGAAATACACCTTTACATTATCTTTTTCAAGTAACTTCTGATGGAAAATTGACAGTCGTAGAAAATATATTTAATTTATTTTTGAATACAAATCGATTGCATCCAGATTATATTGATAGAAATGGAAAAACTCCATTAGATCAAGCAAAATATTCTCAATTAGTATAATTATACAAACGAAAAGTTCTTTTAAATTTAAAATGTCAATGTGCAACATATATTAATCAAATGAACATCAATTATGAAAATTATTTATCGAAAAATTTAATTGATTTCATCCAAAAACATAAATACTCAAGATTTTCTATTCAAGAACATGATTTTTAAAAATATTTATCAAAATAAAAATATAAATAATCATGAAATTCAATTTCATATAATTATCATCATAAAATAATTTATTCTATCAGGATTATTGGATTTTATAGTTTATATGTCATATATGAACTATTTCTTTTTTAACATGCGATCATTAGAAATCTGAATATTCTACTTATTTTTGTATTCATTTTTTGTGAAACACGATCTGAAAGAGAGTGTTGAAGTGTGTAGGGGTAGAAATGTGGACCCCCCTCCCCCCATAGACGCTGCAGACAGGCCAAAAAACCGGTCAAATACCCTTATAAACAAGCCCAAAGCTCCTGTCACAGACTGTTACAAACAGGTTCGTTCTCATCTTCGTTACATCGGCATGTGTAGTTCCCGTCACAGATCGAGATCGGTTAATGGAAGCACAATAAGAAGCATCACATATTGTGACCTATGAAGCAGAAATTTCGTAAAAAGCAGCAGACATCGCTATTGATAATGATATGTTGCTTTCAACAGCTTAAGTTTAGATGAATGGGAATGCAGACTGGGAAATAAATTGAGTATCATATGTGTTCAAAGTTTGCCTGGCTGGATCGTGTTTCACATTTTTGATCCCGTTAGGGATTGCGCTGAAAGCTTTTACTATCTGACTGTATGCCACGTGGAGACGTAGTTAATGGTCCCCGTTAAAGAAAATTATTTGAATCAGCCAACATAAATGTATCAGCTATGAAATAACAACGTCATATGAAAAGTTTTCATTTTTAAACTGCCATTTCAGAAGTGCTTATAAACCTATGTATATCACATGATTTAAAAGAAATCAATAATGCGTGTCAAAGTTCATTCGTTTGACTTTTGACTTAACTATCCATTTCTAATAATATACAATGACCATCATTTAAACGCTAAATTGAATTAAAAATATCAAATGATATGCAACATATAAAGACATTTCGTGTCCGACAGGATGACCTACTTAAACATGTACATTGACATTGTCAAATGAAAAACGTAAGCATCCAAAAAACGAGGACTCATGGTGACACATATTGAGCCTCCCCAGATTAAAGGATCCGGCGGGATTTTCTAAAAAGCCTTCGCACATTATATAGTCACAAAGGTCTTCTAATTATGGGAGTTTTATACAGCGTCATTTGCTAAAATACTAAACATTAAATAATTCAAGATTTCATTAATTTATTAAATTCCATAAAAAAATCACACAGTTGTAAAAATATATAAACATAAGAAAAACCACTTTTTCTTCCACATACTCACTAGCTGTCTAATTCGAATTCGAACATACATGGAAATTTCAAAAATGCATTTTAGTAATTATATTTAATAAAGTTTTTGTTTTGATCTTGATTATTTAATTTCAAAGCTACAGCAAGCAACTGAATCTTCATGTATAATCGAACTCGAATTATAGACAGATCGAATAGAAATGTGTTTAAGAAGGGTAAGAAGCATGTCTCAATGATTTTTCCGTAGCTTCTATGAAAATTCCCTTATAAAGGCGTCTTGTAATATGTGGAGAGGTTTCCTTGTGACGAGTTCTCATAGAAGAGATGTGTGTGCGGATAAAACTACGTCTTTATTTATTTCTTCCTCTTAAATTGTATCGTTCTGATATAAGACCTGCGTCTATATACTCGTCCATAGAAGAAACTGCAAGAAAATATCATATCAAATGACACCATGAGCATAATTCATTAGATTATAAGAATTGAAAGAACTAATAACATGCATACAATGCATGGAGCGACAGTGCTGTATTCACGAGTATTTTTTTAATATGAGGCGTGACTCTATTGTTAATAATGAGTTAGATCCATAATAAATCGTTTGTGCAACACTGGAATCTTGATAGTTATTTTTAGTTGATGATCATTCCATTGAAAAGCTAGTTTCGAGTACTTCTTACTCGAATACTAATTACCACAGTTCGTTCCATGCGACTATTCTGTCTTGAGAACGAAGAATATGTGAGTTAAAATCTGTTCCTACACTTTTACCTGATCATGAGAAATGTATATTTGTTTTTGAAAAAACGCAAAAATGGTCGTAGTTATCATAAGAAAAATGGGGATTTGAAATCTTAAACCAGTTGATCGTTCATTTGATGTTGTTAGCGTAATATTATAGCTGTGTAAAATACTTCTAACTGCATTTAATGTTGATTTTGTATTACATAAACTTCTAGTACACAGAATATCAAAATTTTCGATGTCGGGATCTTTGTACATAGTAACAGATACTTGATTTTCATATGAAGTAATTTGACATGATTGTGTTATTTTATTAGTTTTTATTCGATATTCCAAAGAACATGAACCATTTTCCGGATATTTTATGCATGATTCTTCCTTTTCCATTGAATTATAACAATTTAATTGAGGAGTCTGTGGCGATAATGATGGAGCAAATAGATATGGAGATAATTCCCTAAGAATATTAGAAAAATTAAATTGTCGTTGTGATAATTCTGTCGAAATTTTAATTGCTAAATCTTTAGCACAATCATTTTTATCCTTACAAACAATATTAACATAATATGATAAATAAATTGTATTCGATCCAGTAATTCGTAAAGTACTATGACGATGATTATGTGAATCATAAAAGACATTTGACGAATCACTTGTTAATTTAAATAAATAAAGTCCTGAATGATACATAAATATAAGCATAGCTTCACATTTTCCAGCTAAAACAATTTGATTACATTTCTCAGGATAAAGAAATGGTGTAGAACTGTTGTAGGAATATGAACAATTTGTTGTACAACGTAATGCTTGACAAGAGAAAAATGAAAGAAAAAAAACAATCAAATAAAGTAACATAGCGATGAGAGAAAAATCAAAAAATGGAATCGTGTTTTTTTGTTATTTGAGATATACTTTTTTTCTCTTCCATAGAAATGTCAATATTTTTCCCCGTTGTCGTTATCACATGCCGATAAATAAAAAGAATATTCTCTTGTACGATAATAAGCAGTCATCAGTGCTTCACATTTTTTTCAGCATAAAGAAATAATATAGAACTCGAAGCTCAAAAACTCGTCAGGTTCTCAGTTCTTTTTTCTATTAAGTTTATTAGCTCTTTCTTCTCTAACAATATTATTTTCATTTTAGCGTATGAAATCGATAGGTAATCCATGTTTATTTCATTTTTTTCATCTTTATTTATTCTGCCAATATTTATCTTACTATTAGAAAAAAGTAAATAAGAATCTTTTGGAAAAAAATCATATTCTTCTCACTGGAAATTCTGAACTTTCAGGATGTAGGTGTATTAACGATTCTCATCCATCTTCAAAAACAAAATATTTAAAAATATGTACAGGGTGTCCAAAAAGTCTTGATCACTTAAGAAATTTCTATTTCTATTCTATTTATCGAACTCATGGGCTAATCCATGGAATCTCAACCCCTTTATACACTACTTTCTCCGAATCGTGTGAAACTTTCAGTGTTTGTAGACCATGCTGATACATTAAAATATCCATAAGCGGGTTCCACGCAGCGATGACTGCTTTTAACCGTTTTTTTAGCTAATTAAGCAAAAATCTGTTTTCCAGAATAATAATACTGTTAGAAATTCTTTTCAACTACATACACAAAGTACCAACCATCCTTCATATTCTGAAAGCTTGCAGCTTAAGCTACATTGTGATTATAAAATGTTGGGGTTCTGTTGAAATTTTCATTATCTTTTGTCTTGATATATGGCGATGATTCGCAATATTTTAGTATATACTTTTGTCACGAAAAAGATTGTATAGGACATTTTATTTCACGCGATATCCGTATAGAAGGTTTTGTAGAGAATTGAATGCTCTACACAAAACACTACAAGAGAGCTCTCGCTTTTTAGACTTCGCAAAGAACTTAAACAAACAATGATCTTTTTGACGTTTCTAGTATGAGACACCATCCATTAGGGCTATCTTTTTCATCCAAAATTATTTCATCACTGGCATAGATATAGTACAGTTTGTAGAGTTCTTAATTCTGTATATTTTTACATCAAAATATTGCCAGTTACACATTGTCTTCGCACAGATATGTTTAAAATACTTTTTGTAGGAGAAAAACACAACTTTTTCTTTGTGATTTTTTCAGAAAATCCGTTGAAAAATAGTATTTCACTGTTTTTTCTATTGTAACACCAAAATTTAAAGTAAAATAGCCATTTAACCAAACAAGTGGAACAAAAACACTCGCAAAAAATATACTGAACACCCTTCGCATGATCATATTACGATCTTCAAACTGACCTAATAATATAGTGAAAATATATATTTAGCTATTTCTTTTATTCTCAAAATAAGTACAATAATTTGTTACACATGAATCATAATAACCAAATAATTTTGGTTTGCTTTTATTTAAAGGTTTTGGCCATACAGACGATAGAAGTTTTGAAATCCATTGAGTCATATTACTGAGATATTCAGCGTCATAAAAACATTTGAGTATGCTCGCAATCAAAGCGTCATATTACACATTTTTAATAGTCGCTTCTATTCTTAGGAATATATTGGCGACTGATGTTTATATTAATTTATTTTCGAATAGTTTATTTAAATGAATTTTAATCAAAAACTTATAAATTTTAGTAGAAGAAAAATCGTTCATATTTCGTGTATATAGAATAGAAAAATTTATGTCAGGGAAGTTTATAACGCTGTACTCTATTATTATCATTATCGCTTACGTAGAGAAAGCTTTCGTTAGCACTCAACAAAACATCTGAAGGACCATATAATAGTGTTGCATTAGTGCCAGTAATACCTGTCATGCCTATAATTGTTATTCCCGTTGTTGCTTCAACTTTCCAAAGTTGAATACGACGATTTGATTTATTAGCAATATAGATATCGCCTGCTTTAGAAACACAAACATCATAAGAAGTATACAGTTGAGTACTGTTCAATCCTATTCCATAACCACCAGCAACAGTTGTCATAAGATGGGGAATATGAATTTGCAGCAAATTCATATCTAGTTGATGCTCTTAAGATCAATAAAGTAAACAGAAATTCTTTATTTGTTCTATTTTTAGTATCGATATTCTTTGTAGATACTCCAAACATTGAGCCTTGGACACAATGGAATTGGTGATGAAGGAACACGTCATCTCAGTGATGCTTTCAAAATTAATCAAGTCAGATGATATTCGTCACCATAATTTCAATGTTCGCATTGATTTTAGACTATCAACGCAATCAATCTTCATACCAATCAAATAGGAGACCAAGGAGCGTCTTGTCTTAGTGATACTCTCATGAATAATCAAGTGAATCAATTTCATTATTTGAAATTCTTCTTCATGTCGTTCTCATTTATTACAATCAATTACAAATCTATATATTTGGGGTAATCAGATCAATGATCAAGGAGCATGTCATCTTGCTGATGCTCTGAAAGTGAATGAAGTAAGATGAAATGTCTGTTTATCTATTATTTGTATGTGCCAATTTCTCATTGATCATAGACAATCTTAGTACTCAAAATTGGTTTTAATCTAATTGCGGCACAAACGATAGATGGTTTACCTGATGATGTTAAGAGAAGAATGACATTACAGATGTAAAAATTGTCATTGCTAATTGTTGTCACCAACTATTTGAACTTTAAAAATAATTCTTAAGATTATCTTATTCCTCTTTTTTTGTGAAAAGTGATCTAGATTTTTACGAAGTACTCGTACCTATCGATTTATCTACATATTTTTTACTCCATTAGTTCTTGTGAATCTGTTTCTTCTTGCGTTCCTGTTCTTTGATGACAGCCGTAATCAATTTATTCACAGATGTAACTAAGGACAACGACAGTGTTTATCTGTCCTTTCGTTTTAGTGATTTTCTTGGACGAACTACGTTTTGTACCACATATTCCGCACATATGATAGCGTGACCAGATGTTCGGAAATTTCTTGCCTAGAAATGATGAGATTTTCACAATTTCTTTGTCACGAGTTGCGTAATGGACATCCGCGCTGGAAGTCCGGAAAAGCAAAGTAGTACGAAACGTAATTTTCCCATTTTCTCATTGGTTATTGTACAAACCGATGCAGAATACTTTAGATTCCATCAGTTTAGCACATCTATTCTCATTCAATGCCGGATCACAAGACGAAGTTTAATTGGTCATGGTTATATAAAAAGGATGAAAACGGACACTAAGTCAAATCGCGGCCCAAGCAAGGATCATGGGAAACGACATTCATCTGTTTTCTGTTTAAGTTGGCGACCTGAGATGCAGCGGGTGGTTATAGGCGCTTTATGGATCTTAACATGCTACTCCTCTTTTCCTCTTTTTTATTCACAACCCTCCTTTTTTCTTTTGGGATATTCCTCTTGCTTCCTCTTTTTTTTCAAATCATCGGTGGGGCGCCAGAATGATTGCATAGATTTCATTCGTTGTATAGGTTCAATAAACTGTAGTTTACGTCAGATTTGTAATTACATTCACATCTGAGGAGTGGCCTGAACGATCACCCCGTCCACTATATTTGTGGTTACGTTACCGAGTCTATAAATCATTGTTTTAAATCAAGGAATAACACGAGTTGTTTTTCTCTCAATGTTATGCCGGTGATTATTCGTGCATCAGTAACAAAAAATCGATACAGATTCATTTTTACTCAAAGTCTGGTGCGCTGAATTATTTCAGGTGATGACAACGGAGATGACGAATCAGAAATCCAACGCGCTACAAATAATAATATCGTATAAGTGATTAAATTTGTTGCTTTCACGATTCCTACCATGTTTTTCAAGCTCAAAAACTGCATTACATATTGGCCCGCTATTATGTAATGGAACAAATTCTTTTGGTGATGACTTTTTCCATGTGATCTTCCGATCGAATACTAATTTATCTAATCTGGCACCTAAATCAGTCACCACTTTAACAATATTCGATCGACTGCCTAGTGTAGAAATTAGAGTTTTCGCATCGATTGGTTGAAGGGCGTTGAGTGTGGCTTGGTCAATAATGTTAGACATCAAACCGTTGATATGAATTATATTTTCAACAAAGGTTTGACACATATTATTTTCCGCAGCGTCATATTTGTAGAAATTTTTATCCACATTTGCTGCTGTGGAAATTAATTGATTGAGTGTTAATGGTAAATTTGGTGTTAGAGGAATATCATATACATCGATCAGTTCATCGGGTATAATGGGATATTTCAAGGCTATACGTTGTGATTTCTCAAGTTTAAGAATGATAGTAGCAGTTAAATTGTGTTCTGAATTCCCGAGTATATGTTGTAATACATGAGGTCCATGACTATTAATAATAGTAATGAGTAAATAATTGTGATAGATTTCATCGTAGCCAAGTTCGAGTTGTTTATTATTGAATTTCGAATCACTTAAAAAGTTAAGTAGTTTAATAGGAAGATCTTGAACGGGTGTTCGGCCAAGTTGAATTTTAAGAATAAGTTCATTACCCACTTTTTCCAACAGATTTCGTACTCTTAATGGCATTTCTGGATCAAATTTTGCAGCTACAAATTCTGTTTTATTATTCCTAAACTGTAAATAACAATTTGATTGCTATTTAAACAAAATATGGGATTCATAGTTTTTATTATCACCTTTTCATTTGCTATCATTGTTGTTTTAAGTCAATTTTCGACGACTTAAATTTTGTTGTATCAATAGTGGTAAAATCACTCTAAATGAGAATCAATGAATCGGACAACTAACAAGGAATTAAGTTTTATGATGATCATTTCAATTTTATTAAATATTTCTATTTACTGGATGTCCCAGAAGTTCTGTTATCAGAAGTTCTTTTATTGACTCCAGAACTTTTTTTCTTTCACAATTAGAAGTAATACACTTTCGAAAATATTTATAAGTAGTTGAAATTGTCAAATGAAATAATAAGAACAACTGAAAAAACTTGTAACGACAGGACTTTTGGAATACCTGGTATTTTGTGCCAGTACAATCGATTCATTTTATTTATCATTTAAAATAGTGGTTGGGTGCGTTATGAGAATGACAGAAATCGTTGTTCCTATATTTTCAATACGTTGATTTCTAATTTTATTCTATTTCGCTATCTACATAGAGAACGGGTCCATCCACGCTTACCTTTATGCTCTGATGTTGGATATCAAAAAGCATATTCGGGTATTCTAATCACGTGCACATTCTTATATATATATATCTTTTTCTACACCCATCTGCTAACATATCACAATGTAAATATTGACACACAGCTTTAACCATTTTCATTCTTTTCTGCGCACATTTGAGTAGTATTATAATACCATTCTACGTACGATATTTTTTTTTCTTTTTCATACCAACAAACTGTTCGACATTTAAATCATCTCTGTCAGCAACAATTGGAAGCATTCGAAGAAATGACGAAATCAGAAGGACGAGGTTTTAGTTGTATATTACATAAATCTATGAATCAACTTGATTCCAAGTCAAGAAAGTAGAAGAAAGAATAAACAAGGGCGTGTTATCCTTGTTAAGTTATGCAAATAAGTGGCATTAGCCGTTAAACCCGTTAAAAACAGAAATGGTAGTGTACCATAAATGCATCCAAAGTCCAAGGTTGCTAGTTCAATACGACGAAATAACGATCGCTCAGAAGAATCAATTCAAATATCTTGGAGTTCAGTTGCAAGGAAAACTCTCTTTCCGCAGCCTGATTGATGCGCAAGGAATCAAACAACAGAGATCCTACGTAGAATATCCCAGCACCCAATTCGAGTATTTCCAGGCCTGATTCGCCTGTGAGACCATTCCAACTATACCAAGAAGCATTCCAAGTAGGACCCGACGAGCTCTACAGTTTTGCAATAGAACACTTTTTTATCAGACCCCTCCTTGCTTCCCAAAAATGCAAAAACCCACCCGAAGGTGATAAAAAAATTAGTATTTTTTTTTTAAATTTTTTTCACAGCCTTCTCCAATGAAACAAACATTGGTCCTGGATAGATTTTGAATAGTACTATCGATTTCACATCTCATTTGTCATGTTCCAAGGTGCTACTACTGAGAAACGTGCTAATTAATATCATATCAGTGAAATACATCTTCAGTCTTATCATTCATTGCCCTGTTTGTGTCAGCCAATAGAGATGTAAGAATCGAAAATAGTATAATTTGAACCTACTAAATACTCACCGAGGCCACCGACCTCCACAACGAAGGACCACAAGACTCTCCATTCGGACTGGCATATCTCTAATCATTTCTTGTTCAGACGAAAAGTGCTTCTTGTTGACCACTCAACATTTTACGATAAAAAACTTTTCTTGGTACTGTCAGTTCACCACACTTAAGGGGATCCCCTTTCCGATCTTTCTCGAGAACAGCTGGCCAAAAGCTTCTCAAACTTTGGAGCACATAGTCTGCAAGTAGTAGAGTAAAAGTTATCATGAGCACAAGTTTGCCAGACCTCATCCTCACGGATTTTCGGAGACTTCAAGGCCCAAAAATTGCAAAACGTGTTCTCCCAGTTTCTCGGTCATTTTAAGCCCAGTCGCGTAAATTTTTTTTGTTGGTACTTTAACTGAGTTAGGAAGTGTCGTTTTTTTTGCTCTGTAAAATAGGTTTGGTGCATAGAGAGTATGGATATCTATATTTATTCGTTAAAAAAATTTCGACAAATTTTTCGGAAATGGAACGGGATCCCGTTAAGTGTCAAAATAAATAATTTAAAGTGAAGATGGAAACAGAAAATAAGATGGGACGGGATGGAACAACTTTTTGATTGTTCCGCGGAGCTCTGGTTTATCGTTCTCCGGGAATTTGTCAGTGTACACATTTAGGTGGAGGAAGTCAAGCCACCTCAAGCACATTGGTTTATTCGGTTATGCAATCTCAGAGAAGAGCAGAAAAAACAAAAATTATTTGGTAAATTTGGAGCATTTATTTAGTTCAAAATCAATCATTTTGGAAGAGTATTTGAAATCTGCTTCCTTACTGGTTGGTAAAATTGCTGGACAGTGTACAAACGTAAAGAATGTTGCTCCAACTGCTGCTAATGAATATTTAATTGAAGACGAAGATGAGGGTGATCAATCAGCATCATCGTTCATGGAGTTATAGACTTCTGTTACCATTTCATGAAACTAGCTTGGTTCTTCTTTCTATTTTCAAATAAAACAATTCAAGCATCATTATATACTGTAATACCAATTGTTATTATTGGCGAAAAGACAGTAGACTACCTATCACATATGTATTCTTTATTTCTTATAAGAAGAAAATAAGACAAAGTTATAGTTAAATGAGAAACATGAGAATGTGAATGTCATGTGTTTTAGTAGAAATAATATTTAGTAGCAGAGTTGAGCGAAACAATCACAGAAGATGTCTAAATTTGAACTTCAGCCATTTTCATCTCTGATACTTGTTCCTTGTTTTCTTTACGAAATTTAAGCCATATTTGCACTAAATGGCAAGACATAATCACTACCAGTACTAGCACAATCACCCAAGCCTAGTGGAATAAATACACCAATTTTACATATCTAAAAATAAGCTTAAAAACACGCTCACTCTCCATGATTTTGATACATCATCCGTTAAAAGGACAAGTGCATATTGGATAAAAGTTATTGCACCTCCTGCTGTCCACATGATACCAGTTAGTGTTCCGATATGCTCAGACGGAAAGCTAAATAGAAATGAAATCTGTGCTGAAAGAATTACAGCGATCCGGGGGCTGGAATCATTGCTCTGGAAAGGTATAGACGAATGGCATATATTGTATCTCACATACATATACTCTAAAACTTCACCTGTATCAAATAAAAAAAACTTACAAAGTTGCTACTACAGCTTGTGAACCAGCTACAATTGTTGCACGTGCAATGCAGTTTATGACCAACGCGGGTATGATGACATTCGATTTCACAAACATACAGATGATGCAAAGTACAACGTTCGATACCCATGATATTGACTGGACTATCAATATGTTCAATAATTGCTGCTTTCTATCTATAATGAAATATTAATACGTATATGAACATATTATCGCATGGCTAAACATTATGTTCTATCGCACGATGTTCCTATTATCTTCACTGCTGCATCATATTATGAAAATACGACTTACTTGTTTCTATGCAATATCACGAACGGGCTTTCGTGTGAAATCCCTCTAACTCTCAACAGATTTCATCAGCTATCGTCCGATACTGTGCAGTATGGCTGAAAGTTTTCGAATTAGACTGATGGGAAATGGTTAACAAATGTTGAAAAAAGTCTAAGGTATTGTGATACATATATGCAGATAGTTTTTGTTTTTCTTCACATCTATGCTGACGTCAAAAGTTTTGAAAACTACTTGGGGTAATCCGAAAGTAGTGGTGGAAGTCCTTTCTTTTCTTATAAATAGCCTTTTCAAACACAATTTTTTATCAATCAATAGAGGGAAAAGCTCTATCTTTCTATGTTTTTTAAATCTATCTCAACTGAGATTATTATCATAAAGTTTCGATAAAAAAATTTTGTTTATCACTTCAACTGGTGGAAATTCTGTAACTTACTATCGTTGTGTGTTCTTTATTGTTTCTTTTTCATCCTCTGATATATTTTATCAAAAATCGAAATACAGCATAAAATTCTGTACAGCCAACTTTCGCACGGTCGAACTTAGGTCACTGAATGTTTTGTTCATTGTGAAATCAGCAAGTGCAAATGTAAGAAAAAATAACCTATGTTAACTGTAGAAATTTTCACGTTGCATTTTATGCTGTATTTCGATTGTTGATAAAATATATCAGAAGATGAAAAAGAAACAATAAAGAACACACAACGATAGTAAGTTACAGAATTTCCACCAGTTGAAGTGATAAACAAATTTTTTTTATCGAAATTTTATGAGAATAATCTCAGTTGAGATAGATTAAAAAACATAGAAAGATAGAGCTTTTTCCTCTATCGATTGGTAAAAAATGTCGTTTTTCAAAGGCTATTTATAAAAAAAGCACCTCTGGCACCACTTGTGGATTGTCTTAAATATTTAGTACAACACTTACTTTTGCTATTATTGATTCCCAATACGAAACCGTTGATAGGGCAAATGACGAGCGCGGAGAGTGTCGACATGTTGAATGCAAACGTGTATTGATTGGCTAAAACAAAATCAACTGTCAGCTATACTATTTTATTCATCCCCATTTTATCCATACTAAACAGCTGCCTGTTTTATCGCACTTAGAAGATGTCGTAATGTCGTATGAATCGATTTAAAATTTACAGTATTCTTTCAAAGTTCTACATATTGGATACTAAACTTTAGCATCTTTTTCAAAATTCAATTGCCTCTAATAATACAAAATACTATCTTTCTCAATAATGCTAATTATGTATAAAATGGCGTTACATGAAGAACACTGTAACAGCTGTCAGGCAAAGGAGTACCACTTGATTTTCGTCTTTCGACATCCTACGAGCGAAATATTATCTCGTTGAGGAATGCTATATCAAGTTAGCTTTAGCGTCAATTAGACAGAGAGCTTTCCAAGTCACTGAATGAAATAAAAGATTATGGCTATTTAAACGCATTTTCTGGAGATCGATCTTATCAGTATTGTTCACTTTGAAAATGTTATTGCATGACATCAGAATAGTTTGTTCGGTATATTCTCTTTATGTTTATGTTTTGTCGATAAGCATTGTTTTCTAAATTTAGAACAGTTTACCCAACAAAGTGTTTTGATTTGTAATATAATACACCCATGGATACCAAGTGACAGACAACAAAATGCTTGGCAGTAGTAAGATGCTCAAAAATAGGACTACCAAAATATAGACAGGGCTTAATAGATGGCTCCAAACACCCGTACGTTGATAAATCTTTGAATACCACTTTACTTCAGCGGTCGTTCTGTCTGTTAATTCTGGAGAAAATCTTAGAATTGACAGCATCAACTCAAGAGTATGTATTTACCGCTCGGTATTGTTGATGGTTGCTCCAATTTTACATCAGTCCCATAGGGTAAATTCCATAGAGTAAACTTCCAATCGAGAAACAGAAACGAAGAGATAAGCATGAGCAACCCAAATGACATCCAAATATATGATAAATGTTCGAGGGTTATACGTCCATCATCAATCAACCTCTGAAATTTTATTTAAATCCAGAAAATAGGTAATAATCTTTATGAGCATGCAGAATATCTTTGAGCAGAATTTAAGTTGGCTCAAGGTGAATCTGCATAGGTAAGCGCTCCAACCACGATCATGCTGGCTTCGAGGATATGTTGACAAGATCTGTCGACTCCACTCGTAAAATGTTTACACCTAATCTTCCTCACCCACGCTCACTGATAGCCCAAGGTACCCAAACTAGTCAAAATCGTAACCAGGTCTGTGTTAGTGGGAGTGTAAATCGATAGAACTCGTCGAGTCCTACTCGAGCCGATGCTATCAAAGTTGGAACACTTTTCTTAGCAAATCTACTCTGAGAAAACTTGAATGCTGCTCAAACCTGATATCCATTTACCGGCTTACTTGGAAAACGGAGAACCATATTGTTGATGATATCGTCGCACCAGCAAATAATGCAGACACCACTGCTCGAGACCTTGAAAAGTATTCGCTTGATGCATAAGTCGTGATTAAAACAACTATACCACCGATCGACGAGAATACAGTGTGAATATAAAGTAAGTAATCTCGACCTAAAGAAACTTAGGAAAATGAAATATAGCTAAGAGTTTTCTTGTTACGGGTACCAGATTTAACTAGAGCTAGAGCCAACCAACCAACAATATGAAATACACTCAAAAAGATAAAGAAAGATAAGGATAGAAACAAAATGCAGCAGTAGTTACATTGCTATTAATTTAATAAAACGACAACCAAACTTGTCTATGAGAGTACCAACAATTACAGACGGTAAATCAAAGAAGGCAATTCCTAATGTCAATGCATTCTAAATAACAAATAGTCATTTACATTACTAAGAGATTCTGTTGAAATACTTGATATTGTCGAGTTTGAGCATCACAGTTTTCTTGACCTGATGATGCTATTGTTATGTTTGTAGTAGATACGCAATAGTAATTATAAACGCCATAATCGGGTAATATTTTGAAAAGTGCTGCAAAACCAAATATAGTACCAGCAATTAGATTCATTTCTAACATTAGCCACATAACACCAAACCATCTTCTGCATGAATTTTTGTAACCTGAAACGATAGTCATGACGATATCTACAATAGGAAAAAAGAAAGAAAAATTGTAAATCTGCGCATAAATTTGGTATGCTGTAAGTCAGTGACAACAAGAATTTTTCTTCCTGAGATCAATATTCCATTATATTTCTTTCATGTTTTAACAGACCGATTCGAAATTGCGTGATCTATATACGTATACAATCTGAAGCTTGAGTCCAACTAGTTATGTCCATTAGAAAACAGTGGAGTGTGAGTATTTTGGAGGTAAAATAAACAGCTACTGAGTGAGATCAGATTTACATAACAGCCGACAGTAGAATTATTTGAGGAAGCTGTAATTTTCATGAGAATCAAAGTAATCTAATTTTAAATAGTCAGGTTATGTTAAGGTGCACTTCTTTATCTCACATATTCCTACCAAATATCTATCTCCTGGATATCGTGAAATTGTTATAACAGATATAGAATAGTTCAATTCATCTAATAAAGTTTGACACTTCTGTATCTTTGTACTCTAAGGAGGCACTGTAGATGTTTGGATAGCACGTGTGTGTAGAATACTAAAGTATACTCCAGTAAGAAATTTTCGTTATGAAATATTGATTATATTACTATCCAATGTAGTGGCGTAACCAGAAAACGGACGGTGAGCAGGCTCAGTCTGCCCTGGCTACTCCCTGATTACGCCTACATTCTCTTCTAAATTAATAGCAAACAATATTCGAACATGAAGAACATCTCATCCTCTCCAGGGTGTGTCATAACTATATCTCCCCATCCCAACACCATCATCCTTTATTTTATGATACATAAGAGTTGCTAGTCTTTTTTAACAAAATATGTAATATACATTCTAATAAATTCGCATACTGTTCGATTAAAATCATAAAACACAGTATTGCTCGAAAATAGAAATTGGGTAGTCTGTGCGATCTAAATCACATCGTACACAACTTTCTTCGGGCTGAATAAAAATTTCTGAATGTGCAGGCCATTTAAGCTATTAAAAATATATAAGGTTAGTTTCAACAACTTCTTTCTGTGGTACATGTACATCATCATAATTGCTCTGCATATTTTTAGATAATATTGAAATAATAGTCTCTTTCGAGATTTCTATTGTTAGGAGATCTTTTCCATCTGGGATAATACACTATTAACTACCTTACATATTAGGAAAGCTCATGACTTAAACTACATTCCGCCTATAAAATCTTCGAATTTTGTTGAAATTTCAATTACACTTGACTTTGCGTACTAATCACCCATTTTGTTTGAGTATACACCACGATATTTTTAGAAAAATGATTAAAAAAATTTATATTTGATAAATAATTACCGACCAGCCTACAGAAAAATTGTACGTAAATAGGTGATTTCGTTCAGCTTTGTGCGCTTTATATTGTGAGATACTAGAGTAGAAATTTCACGAAATCTTTCGTATCCAAATCAACGTCAACTTGCTCAGGACAAACTTTCACAATATTTAGAAAGGGTTTTAGAAGTACTTCAGTGAAATTAGCGTGTTTTTATAATAGCTCGACCAAAAGTGCTAAAAGTTTGGATTTAAAGGTTTTCAACTATGTTGAACACAATGGGATTGTTAAACGAGAAAAACCTTTTTGCGAGTGTCACGATTTATAGGAGAATACTCGATGGGGCCTATGGACCTTTTGTTAAGTTATTAAATATTAGCTAACAAAATCACTTTAGAAGCAAATTATACTATTGTTGAAAAGTATTAAGTACAATATAATACAGTACAGTACGTTTCAATTCAAGTATAATATAAATTTCTTACCACGATTAAATTCATCTAAATAATGGAAAACTCGTTGAAAAAGGTTATCGTTTTTATTTTCACATTAACTCGATTCGTAGCGCTTTTCCATGTTTTTTTTCAGAGATGTGTCAGAACATTGCTTTCATAGTTCACCTATCTGGAAGGAAAATGTACCAATGCGTTTTTACAATCCTCCAGGCTCAATAAACAAGCATTTTTTAACGTCAAATCCACTGTCTTTAAGTGCACTTAGATAGTCAGTCTTCCTCATAATGGATGATGGCGTATTCATAATCATCTGGATCTTTTTTGTCGGACAGTGGATCGATAACAATAATGCTGTACCATCATAATCGTTTGTGTCGTATCTAATGCCAATTTTTTTTCGTGCATCGGTGCTATTCATCACTATTCTTCCTTCTAAAAGCATCTGCTCGAGCGCATATGATCCAAAGTCTGATCCGCGACCGTCTTTTGGTAAAAGCATAATAATACCAACGCCGTATTGAATAATTAGTTTCACTGACGTCTTCAAACGATAACGGCAAGTTGCTCGACGAAGAGGGAATCTGTTCAACAATGATTCCATGTGAAGACGTACAATAGGGTAATCGCATAGGTCAGCTGTACCATAGGTGAGAATGACACATTCTTGACTAGTGACGATGTCATAATAAACATGAACCTACAAGAACAGATAGTATTTGATCATATTATTAGGTTGTCCCTCAAGTTCGTGCAACCATGGGGTGGCAAATATCAAATTGGTACAAATTTTAAAGTCTGCATGTCAAAATTATTGGAAATTTTAACTCTTGAAAATTTTGAAAATTTTGAGAATTTCTGTAAATTAGAAATATTCATAGAAATGTGGATTACCACAATCAGCATTAGGTATCATTTTAAATCCCATCAGAAAAGCAGAAATCAGAAATTTACTTTTGTCTATTTGTGAAAATTTTCATGACAATGGGTGTGAGGGTGTGGGTGTGGGTGGGTGTGGGTGAGGGTGAGGGTGTGAATTAAGATAGTGAAGTTGATTTCTGATTTCTGCTATTATATAAAATGTAGGCATGAAAGTAAATTTCTGATTTCTGCTTTTCTGCGGTTATATAAAATATAGGTATGAAAGTAGATTTCTGATTTCTGCTTTTCTGTGGTTATATAAAATATAGGTATGAAAGTAGATTTCTGCTTTTCTGCTCTTATATAAAATATAGGCATGAAAGTAGATTTCTGACTTCTGTTTGTTCCCTTGTTTCCATAGAGTGCTGCATCAGAAATCAGAAATCAGCAATCAGAAATTTGCTCAAAACTGGTACCAATTTGAGATTTGCCACGCCCTCCTCATGTAGAACTCTAGGTTCATAAAACATTTGTTGAGAGTAAGGATAAAAGTAATGTTGTTGTTGTGGGAAAAGTTTTGACATTTCTTGGAGATCTCCTTCTCGATCGTCTTCATCCTGCTTTTCGTCGATAGTATTGTGCACAATAATACCCATGGTGAGCTCAGAATAGTACCTCTGCAGCTCATCATTAAGATCCGTAAATTGTTTTTGATGACGGGGAACTATGGCAAAATAGTTTTATGAATCATTTGTCCTCAAATTGAGAAACAAATGCAAAACATTCTTTAGTGAATGTATAAAAACTTTTGAGTGTTTCAGTCAATGAAGCCATGCGCTGTTGGATTTTTCATCGAAATGTACTGATTGCAAATACGAAATTGTTCTATTTATGCGCCCACTAAGTCTTTGACACTGGTACTTGTTTATCTTTGCTTGTTCAGATTTATCTCTTATCTTTTTTCCTACAGCAACCGTTTTGCTTATAATGGTGCCAACTAAAGGAAATACTTTGAATGAGTTCATTTGTGTTGTGAGGAGTTGAGTAGCAGCAATCTAGGAAGTAAGCCAAAATACTATCGTACCTATTCGTTTGACAACAATGAATGTGCAACGAGTAACAAGACGTATCACTATACTTTTATATGAATGATTTGAATCGACAATATTTTGACTTCCTTCGCCTCGGGCGTCTATTAACCATCCTTTTTTTTTTATACAGTAGCAATATTAATGACGAAAATAATTGTGCCATTATACGTATGCTATGCGCTGTGTGGTTTGTATAAAACAGAAATTCATGATATAATTCCTACCTACACTAAATATCACAAATGTACAAATATAGAGCTAATATTTAATGAGTTAAATATATTTCGAAAGTCAGATTATTCACGATCTGATAGTAGCATGAGAAATATTGAGGAAGTCAGTGTGAATTTAAAAGGATTTTTTACCTTCATCTCAATCATTCATAATTTTAAGTGTAAAAAGCCAATCGAAAACTTCACACTCTATACCTGACTCAGCACGAGAAATCAAACAAGACAATCATTTAATTAGAATTGGAAAAAGTTAACATAATCCTTATATATATTCAGGACTTCAACTATGTAGTTCATTCTTAAAAAGAATGTTGCTCATTTCAAGAATAAGAAATGGCATCCCTATATAACCTTAACAGTCTATAGTATGTGTCTAGTTCTAGAAATATGGCAAAATAACATCAACTCATATAGTACAGGTAATTGAGTTTTGATTCTTTCCTCCGAATCATTTTCTTGTTCATTAAAATGTAATTTCAGATGATTTATTCTTGGCGTTAACAAAAATAAGCAGTGAAATTTAGGTAAAGATGAGGGTTATTGTAGATTATACAACCATCCTACTTTTTGAGGTCTCATGACTGTGTTTCCCATACCTACCCACGAAGACGTTTTTGAGAACCACAAGAGCGATTCTGGGTGATTCTGGTTTATCTTCTTAAAGTTCTTCATAAAGCCGATGCGTGTAGCTCTCTATGAACATATCTGGCTAAACTGTAGGTGGTTATATAAAGTAAAAGTACCCAGTCAGAATATGACTTGTCCATGTCTGGCTCTAGCACAATAAATAACGAATAAGTAATCTTAGAGCCGATTTTCTCATTCTCAACCAACTCTTGATCAAACTCTTCAAAAGATAACCTTTCTAGAGGAAGTGGTGATATATTTCAAAACCAATGCGAAAGAATTTTTAAAACTAACATTATATGTGAGGTCCTCTAGCATGATTATCATTGGGCACTTGTTTGATGATAGTCTCCGTTATAATTTCTTAAATTCTACCATCTAACTGATTCGAACAAATTCACGAACTTTTAGCATTCTTACGACCGTATTTATAACGCTATAACCCTTTGTTTCAGAAAATTGAAAGGAATTTCATGACTTCTATTTTTTAAATCGATTAAAGATAATTGTGAAAATCAATACCAAACGCTCCTTTAAATAATATTGGATCGCAATAATCAGACGATGTTATATCATCAAAGTTGACTCGATGATACTTATTCAAAACCCAGGCATTTCCTAGACACCAAAATACGAAACTTCCTAAGAAGGAAGTCGCTGCTCCCAGTAAAATGTAAGTACCGCAACCTGGAAAAGTGCATAAGATTATGTAAAGCAGTAATTACATTAGACCTGACCTCCAGACGTCTTTTCCTTTACTTGTTCATCGATCATTTAATCACCCTCCCAAGTTTATGTGGTTACTAAATATTTAGTAGGATTAAATCCACAGCAAGGTGCAATTATACAAAGAACAATCCATCCAAGGTCGACGAGTCCACCGTAGAATAAATATGTCTCTATTTTTGTTTCAATAGGACAATATTCATCGAACCTTTGCTTGTTTATCACAAGTTTAGATATTGCTAAACCAATATAAATAATTGCTATGATCACAGTTGCAATCAATGAAAACATGTTTAGTGTCTAGAATCTTTCATTGAGCGATTCATTTGATATTTGTTGTGGTATAAACTCACTTAATGATGTAATATTCTTCCTTGCAGCGATACTAGGAAGAACAGTCAAAATACAAAATTTCATAAGTTTATCTCTATGCAAGAAACCCACAGACTTCAATCAGAGTGTTGATGTCAGTGTGAATATGAAAGTCTGATTAACTCGGACAAACTATGATAATACTCTCAATGGTTACCTAACACTGTTCGTAGAACTTTAAACAAATCTTTGTTTATCTTTAAAGATTTTGTGCTGTATGTTTTACTGTACGATTTATTTGATTGTTATGTAGATAAATATTCGTTCAAATGCAAATAGGTAAAAATGTACGGTTAGTTTAGTTTTGTCGTCTCATTATATGTTTTCGTAAAATCTTATCTAGTCGTTGTTCATATAAGCAGGTTCTATTGTAAAGTTACGAAAATAGTTTGTTGTAGAATGCTGTGTTCAATGCCTGTATCCCTTCAGGATCCGATCTTTGGTAATTCAATTCATAGAGTATAGTAAGTTTCTGTTTGATTCCAAAAATAGAAAGTCACAAAATACATACATCTGAAAGAACTCTGATATCTTACCGTGTTTCTTCGCAAAGTGTCTTTCAGTGCTTGAATCCCTTCATCAACAATCAAGTTGCCGGAGAGATCGAGTTTAGTGAGTGTCTGTTTCGTAATTCACAACTAGAAAGTTGTAAGATACATTCAAATGAATGTTGTTATCTCACCGTGTTCGTTTCTAGAGCTTCGCTCAATGCTTGAGCTCCGCTATCTGTTATAGAGTTTCCGGAGAGATCGAGAGTATTCAGTACCTATTCAGATATATATATGAAAACAAAATCAGAATATACATTCACACAAATGTTTGTCTCACTGTATTTAATCTTAGACCTTTAGCTAATGCCTGAGCTCCGTGATCCGTTATTAAGTTTTGGGAGAGATTGAGAATCGTAAGTTTCTATTGAAATAAAGATCATAGTATATATCGAGATAGATGTTTTTGATGTACAGCGTTNATTTCTGCTTTTCTGTGGTTATATAAAATATAAGCATGAAAGTAGATTTCTGATTTCTGTTTGTTCCCTTGTTTCCATAGAGTGCTGCATCAGAAATCAGAAATCAGCAATCAGAAATTTGGTCAAAACTGGTACCAATTTGAGATTTGCCACGCCCTCCGTGCAACTATTATTTCGCTGCAAGCGAGAAACATATGGTTTCCACCGTTGAAGAGAACATCTATTTTTAGGATGGTACAGTAATGTTGAACTAACTACTCCATTGCCTTCTTGGAGAAAAAGGGACATTTTAACAACTGGATCTGTTCATATTCCCGATGCCACACTCCGAAGTGAATTATCAACGAGATGTATGTTTCAGAAATTACATTTATAGTGTTCTAGAGCTGATCGGAGGCTACAAGGTGCACTATTTTGATTTGAATTTGCAGTGAGTTAAGGGTAAAAAATTCCTTCTTTACTACGATGCACTAGGAAGTCTAGAATCTCCAAAATAAAACGCGCATTTTTCCCGGAATCTTTGCGCACCGCTTCTAAATTTTTTTCGATCGCTGCGAAAATTCATTCATGCGTAGAGTTTTCGTTACTCTTTCTACAGATAGTATCAGAATTTCGAAATTCTATGGTCAGATGTGGAAAGTTGTTTAGACGATCTCTGGAACACCTTCGACACTTCATCTGGCATACTTGAAAATTTGAAACTAATAACTTTTGATTCGAACCACTGCAGATTGTACGCCACATGAAATTGTACCTATCCTGTAATTTTCACTTTCTAATCCCATCTAAGTAATGAGATACATAGATACTAAAGTATTGACATCAACACCATATTTGAAAATGGTACATTTTTTTTGTTGAGATATCCTTTTTTTACTCCATGAAGGCAATGGAGTAGTTAGGTCAACATTACTGTACCATCCTAAAAATAGATGTTATCTTCAACGGTGGAAACCATATGTTTCTCGCTTGCAGCGAAATAGTAGTTGCACGAACTTGAGGGACAACCTAATAAAATGAATAATGAATCGAAGGCAAAGTTTTGTTATATGCAACTATATTTGAAAGCGCTTGCCATTCTGAGATTGTTGCAAACTATTGATGTGTACTGCTTTAAATGCTTAGTTTAATTTTAAAAAAATGTTTTATATTACCTTAAACCAATATGGAGTTGTTAATAGTTCGATCAGCGGATCATTTTCATGTCGCTCGCCATACATTTTTAGGTTATTGACATCGATTTTTATCATGTGTCTGTTTTTGCGTAGGAGTTGATGATTGATCACACATGGATTGGGTAAATTTGAGTAATATTCGATCGAATGATTATGGAATATTTCGTGAAACTGTATTTCAGTAAGAACGATTTCATTGTCAATTGGTTTCATTGGTAAGTAATACGATGCGCAATACACGAAGCGCTGAGCGTTGGGCACTGCAAAGGGTTTGAAAGGTTGTACAGGATGTGGCGCTGTCTTTCTCTGATGAATGGTATGGTTAGGATAACGTAGTGTATGACCATTATCTTGTTTCGATATTAAATAAGCGACATTGTATGGAGATGGTTCAAATTGCAGTGCTTCAGTACGCAATATACACAGGCCACTCTTTGTAAGTGCTTGAATTTTATCAGGATTATTTGTGAGAAGAATAAATTGAGCACCATCAATATCTAATAAATGACAGATTTGTGGAATGTTTTCATATTGTCGATGATCATTCTTCAAACCCATTGCATGATAAGCCTGGAATGTTGATATTTGATCGCGAGATGCTTGTACAAGCATACGATCACGTGCCTTACTGACATAACCAACTCCGCGTCCTTCTTGTAAAAGATAAAATACGATGCCACGCTGTTTTTCTGCGATGATCTTTAAGGCACTCTCCAGCTGCTGTGCACAGTCGCAATCACATCCACGTAACGTTTCGCTTGTCACACAAGATGAGTGAAGACGTATATAAAGTGGCTCTTGTTTAGCAATTTCTCCATAGGTCAAAGCTAGAATGTAGCGTTTATCAATCAGGTCTTGAAAGACATACGTTTTAAATAGGCCAAAAGCTGTCTAAAATATTCAAAACATAAATCAGTATTAGATCACGTCACTTTCGCCAGATCTTCCTCTTCCAAAATTGGCAGTGAGCCCATAAATTTTCATAATAAAGGGTAGGCGCGGTCTACGTGTTTCTCAAGCTTATAAAAACATTTATATCTCGTAGACATCCTCAATCGCTGATACCCTGGCTATCAGCCACGTTTTCATCCTAAACATGATTTTTGTAAGTCTCAGACACATCCAGATTACAGGTACTCTCAACCAACCTAATTTCGCCCGCGTTCCTGAAATATTTTGACAGTAGCTATATCGGTCGTCCACATCATAACAAGAACGATCCTTCTCATTTTAAATATTTAATTTGGTTAGAAAAAAGAATTAGAGTGGAAAATGCTGCTAAAAATTTAAAAAATACATGTCCGATAGTGACGGTGAAAAAATGACCAGTAAATTTTGGGAAAGAAAGTGAGTTAAGGAAAGATAATACGTAGATTATATCTAGGGCATCTAAGGAGTCGAACGGTGAAAGAAAAAGGTGTCTATCTTAATTAGAAAATGATTTGATGCATTTCTAATGAGACTCACTCGACTGGTCGGTTTGTGAACAGAAATCATTTTTTTAATGATAGAGCTATGCACTGAGCGATCAAAAATTAGTGTCCTGGAATCAGTTTTCAATGCTGAATCAGGAGAAAAAACTTTCAAAGCTATACTAGATTTCTTCGAAGTTTCATCGTCAAAATCCTGGCAGAAAACCTGTCTTTTTTTAACCCTCGGGTTTTGCAGTATTTTTGATTTTCAGCCGGAAGAAAACCTTTTATCTAAATAAATCATACATATTCGGAGGCAGTGCATCAAACTGTATCAGATTTCATAAAAAAAGTTCACAAAAAAAATTTGCTTGAGTTTTGCATTACACCAACCTTATATAGATCGAGTTTGATAGAATGATTACCGGTTACTGATACGGCTTTACGAGAACAAGAGTCAGCGTAGGAGACGGTGCTAGGACAGAATGTCGCAATAAAATGTCGCACGGGCAAATGGTTGTAAAGGCAAAAGTTCGCATGGACAAAATGTTGCAATACATTGTAATTTGATACATAAGCAATCCAACAACCAGTTTCAATAAAGGGTAATAATGGGAACCGCAGATTAGTAGCAAGATACCAGTTTTCAAGAAAATCTGATAACTGAACAGCGAAGCAACTGGAAATCTTCATACAACTGAGAGGCTTCTACCACTCGTCACATGAGTTTTGCGTCAGATTTTGTTAAATCCGTTGGACAAAGCAAAATCTATAATAGCTACACATTGTAAAATTTCAGAAAACTGAGGACATTAATGCGTGACAAGGTTTTATAATACTTGATGATAATAGTTCGAGATATATCCTTATGTTATAAACATTTTGCAAAAAAAATGTGAATATTTAAAGAATATTCGAAATTTTAGCATCACATATCAAATTACAATGTATCGTAACATTCTGTCCGGATACCGTAGGAGACTGACAAAAACTCTCTGAATACTTAACAAGATAATGAACGACACCATAAGAATGACTCATTTCAATCTATTATCGGCTGCCACCATCAGAAGCGCGAATGACAAATCAGAACAGTGTGTCACAATCATCTTTCACCATGACAAACCCTGCTCTACAAATTAGATTTTATCAGTGCTTATCTTGCCATCTACTAGTAACAGGACAGATAATCACGCTATCATAGAATTAGTGATAATATAATATGACACAGACGTGCTGTATGATTATATTAACATGAGACTTAGAGAAAGTTTGTTTGTATTTGTTAGTCATTTTGTTCTCCGTTCACAATAACTAGAACAGACAAAATAACACATGAAATTGAATTCACTTAAATTTAGGTTACCTAGTATATTGAAAGCAGATATAGCGCCTTTCGTTGATGTGGACCTCCTCCGATGGGCTCTCTTTTGATGTTTTTACTGTTTAATTGCAAAGGACGAAAGGATTTTATATGAACTTCTGCAATAAATCTTTTTTTTTAAATAAAAGAGCTGGGCCTTATTCAATGACACGAAGAATGAAGTCTAAATTTGGATCACGTTTCTTGTAAAAAAGACAAAATCTGACAGGGGTGGTCTTTGTGAGTGATCCTAATAGTCAGTGCAACAAAAGGAAACAGTCTTTTCTTCAACTTTCGTATAACGATAAGAAAAACACTTACATCGACGTTACATGTAGCAATATAAAGAGTTGTTCCGCTCAAAGAGTGGATTTCCGTTGATTTATCAATTGTTGCGATATTTAGCATTACACTTCCTCTACGTGAGACGAACTGATCTAATAGTATAGATTTGTTGCTCTCGACACATTGAGATTCGTTTTCTTCGAGCAATTCTTGACTGCACTTTTGTTCCAAATTGTTATTAACATCAAAGAGAAGCTGAACGACATTTGTCTCTGGTTCATTGGTTCCAGAGTTGACAGTCACGACTACATCCAAATTGGGCGAATTAGCTACGTGGATGAGTGCCATTAATGAAATGTTTTATTCTGCAATATCCAAGTAAAGTTTGATCTAAAAAGTATGTATATATGAAAAGGTGCAACTGTTGAAGTACAATAAGTTATAGGACAAGGTTGGAATAAAGAGACGGTTAAAACAAAGACCTAAAGTCAATGTACTTTTTCCAAACGTTGATAAACAAATTGAATATAATCTAAAACTACAAAAAAAGCATTCATAAATGGAGAAAATAATATTTAAAATCAGTAAGTGTATCTTTTTACAGTGCAGGCATATATCTCGCACTCACACTTCTACTCTCATCCATCGCTACTACTAAAAGTTACCACGAGCAACGATCTTATAAAAAATTATAATGACCAAGAATTAGGTAGTAAAAATAAGTTGTTCGTGTGTAGTTTTTTGTTTGTCTGTTCATTTTTGGAATTAAACATGAGAGTTGAATGCATCAATTTCGAGAAGTAGTTTCTTGAAGCTTGCTATGAGCGATGCAAGAATCTGTTCACCTTTATCCGATGTCGCCTCAGTTGGATCACCGATCACACCGGATTGACTTAAATCCTTTGTCATCCATGCGTATGTCAAACCCGCGTCAATTCTAAGTAGCCCACCATCAGGTACTAATGTTGGAGGATACTCTTTCTCTGCTAGATTCATTTTCACATACTCCTTTAGAATAACTAACATCAAACTTGTCTCTATTTCACCAGCATGTATTCCATACTTAAATTCATGTGGAGTAACAAGGGTCGCCGCAATATTTGGTAAGTCCCAAGCAAAAATTGAAAAAAGCATAAGATCTGAATGTCGTTTGCGCAAGTCACGTGCCACGATTTCGGTCACTTGCGGTTGTCCACCATGTGAATTGAAAAAAAGAAGCTTGCGAAACCCAGCACGATAAACACTATCACCGATGTCCATGAGCACATTGGTCAAAGTTGAGGCACTTAAGCTAATTGTACCGCAAAAAGACGTGTGTTCGACCGAATAACCAGAATACTGAGGTGGAAGAACATATATAGTGGGGGATTTATCATGATCTAGCTGCTCCAACGTTTTCCCAACAATATATAAACCGATGGCAGCATCAGTCATCAAAGGCAAGTGAGGACCATGCTGTTCCACAGCACCTACCGTTTGAATGATTATAACGTTCTCCTTATTGGGCATTGATTCAATATCGCGGAATGACAAATATGCATAATATCGATCGGCTGGTATCAGACCGTGGAACATTTTTATCTGAAATATATTAGTATTTTATAATCGTATAGAATAACATGTCTTGAGGATGTGAGTCGATATGTAAAACGATCATCACATTTTTACCCCTCACTTTGACTATGCCTATTTTTCGTTTGTATAGAATATACCTTTTCTTTCTTACGGTACAGTGCACACTATTAATATTATAGAACACATTTTACTATTTTTCTATTGCAATATAGATAGTGAGTCGAAAAAAAACTCAGTAATCATTTCAACTTTAATTTCACACACCATTCGTATTCTATCTTCCAAATTAGTATGGGCGAATCAGAAATCGTACTGAACACAATTTCAGAAAGCAAGTCCGACAATGCTTATGATGTGATGGCTAAGTACTCTATCGATTCACTCGGACATGATTTGATTAGACAACGACTAGCTCAAATTCCAGTTTTTCTATTGGAAATGCTTAAAAAAAAAACCATAAGTATCTCAACTAATATATATGTTGCTCAGTCATTTATTGTAACCGGTATTGGTAGCTCAGAGGCTCATGCTCGATATTTGACTCTCTTACTCAACACGTATACAAATCGACGGGCTCAGTTTATCGGCTTTACTGCTTTCACGACGGCGACCGCGAAAGTATTTCATTCAGATCAAATTCTGATTCTATATAGTCAAGGTCTTTCTCCAAACGCTCAAATGGTTCTCAGCTACGGACAAACATATTTTTCACGGGTTCTTCTATTTACATCGATGAATAATGAACAGCTTAAAAGCAAATGCCCCTGGATTCTCAGTGACAAATTGGAGACAATACAATTTCCTCTCCATGATGAATATACTACTTTAATACGAGTAATTGGTCCAGCATGTGGTTTTCTTGCCGCTATCCTATTCATGCAGCAGCTTACTGATCAACAGTTAGTTGAACATGATCAGCTACAACAGATCATATTAGCTACATCATCGTTATCCTTATCAATCTCCTCTCAATCAGCTCTTTTACAAGCCATGCTAGAAGATACTGAGCATCAATTTTCACGAGGACCGTTCTATTTGATCCTTTCAGCACCGCTAATCGATGTTTGCCAAAATATCCAATACAAATTACTCGAAGGTCTTTTCTATTCGATGCCTGTCCTATGCGATTATTTGCAATTTGCTCACGGTACCTATCAACAATTACGATCAATCACTGATCGTCCCTCAGCAATTGTATGCATTGTGAATCAATCAAACGCACTGGATGCTGAACTAGAGCGCCGCTTACGAGAGATGATCGAAAGCCACAGTGATAGACGACAGTTAATCAACATTTATACACTGTACTTGTGCTCATCACCGTCAATAATCTATTCATTGCTTGAACTTGAAATGCTCTTTAATCGACTGGTTTTCGGCATTATGTGTGAACGCCGATGTAACCAAATCAATTGGCCGGGCAAAGGAGAAGATCAGCCTCTTTATGGGTTCTCAGGTTCGTCTAGTTCTCTTGAGTGATATTCAAAAGTAAACTATCATTGATTATTACTTGTTTTATTATTTAAATTTTATGCACGACGATCATATTTACAATTTAAAAGCGAGTACTTATTGCTTCTCGGAAAATTCTTTTAATGTGTTAACCTTATTCTTAACTATCTATTGCGTTTTTTCATAACCCTAAACATTATTCCTAACTGCCGACTTCTGCTCTTAGTTTTAACTTTATTGTCCACTACACATATATATTCTGAACTTCCTTCCTATTTTTTTTTCAACTTTATGTCTCTACTTATATTTACGTATTAAAACCTCTTGTGCCATCAAAAAGAAGTTAAGTTTTGCACTTCAATTTTATGCAACCTAGAATACTGTATTAATAAAAAAACATATATTACAAGATGCAGAGTGAACATTTCTACAACCTGCAAAAAGTCGTTAAACAAGATGATATAAGAAGACGGAAAACTGTGTCTTGTAATAAAAAACGTGCCATTTTTCTACTATTGAAAGTTTCTCACTAGAAATCCTGTTCATTTTAAAAACAAGAAGCACAACTACAAAACATGATGCCGCATATAAAATGTAGAGCTTTTCAATCTAAATCTACTAATATTTTTTCTTTTATCAACACAGTATTATAGGTGGCATAAAACTGAAATGCAACACTTAACTTGTTTTTTTTTAATGTCGGAAGTGTGTTTTGGAATTCTATTCTTGCTGCTAAATACTTTAATGCAAGACAGAGTGCTGAAACGTTTTACTCCTGCTATTTGTAATCACAAAGACACAGATTGGAAGAATAGCACATTGCTATTCTCAATCTAGATGATGTTCCTTGCATCAAATGATACTTCAACTCTGCTATATTTCAGCTGTTTCATATAGTACAGAACACCATTTTTATAAAGCATATGAAAACGTACAAAACAAACGTTGGTAAAACGAGATAAAGCTTATGGAGATTCCATCAATGAGAAGAACTCTTGCATGTCAAAAACATTACACAAGAGTAACATCTCATAGCAACACTGGAAGAATTTCCAAGAAATACTAAAAGCTTATTCTCGGAAATTTTTCCTGCGAATGGTATGTCCAAATAATACGACATGAAGCACAATGCCTTCTCTAGTGTGCATATTAACGCAAATACAATGTTGGTGGCCTCTTAATTACATTCATTTACATGTGTATTCTCCTTTTCTACGGGTCAACGTCGAAAAACGAGCATTTCATGCACATAAGAAACTCTTCTTTATGTGCAGTCCAACTATAGAAATGAATATACAATAAAACCTCCCTTCATGAACACCTCTTGTGTAAACACATATATCGGTCACTCACCCGATCAGTATTAGCTGTAAATTGACCTCTATATAGTGAGCACTCCTTTTCAGTCCCAACGTTAAAAAGCACTCGGAATAATGACTTCATGCGCAAAAATATACATCTATAAATGAAAGAATCCCAGATAAAATGGTCCATCCAGTTCTTTGCTTGAAGCAACGCTAACAAAAGTCGCTGAAAGCCTAATTATTACGGAAACCTTCGTCGCATGTATCGAATAAATGAACAATAATAATCAATAGTTCATATAAATCGGATACATTCGACGTATAAACCAGAAGACACCAAAAAATACAATAAACAAGAAATTCATTCACCATAAATACGACTATCCATTCAACATCCTGAATTGCATTCCTTTTCTCTTCATATGGGGTTCCCATCTAACAGCTCATCCACTCTCAAGAAGTTAGGGGAATAGAGGATAATGAATATTCTTCAAAATTTTTCATTAAAATGCAATGCTTAGTACATGAAAACAACACTTTTTTAATCCATGCGCTGCGTAAATACGAGAAATTCTAACCAAAAGAGACACACTCATTATCCTCTCAGACCCACCATACGTCGCTGATTACGTAAGCCTTCACCTAATGCAACACCTCTGCACAGTGAACGCCTCGTAGACCACTCACATTTCCAGCAGTACCGTTTATCATCCTACAGCGAAGTTCTCATCTAACAATATTTGCAAAATCAAGAAATCACAACCCCAGGTTATTCTGGCACGGTCGGTTAGGTTCGTTTTCCGATCATTTTCTTGCCGCCCAATTCCGGCCGGAATCAAGAAGAGCTGTACCGGAATAGACTGAGATTTCAACCGATTCAGTCGCCGGAATCATCGACCTGAGATTGTACCTACCACTATCCAATATTATTACATCCTTACCTTCAACACGTATATAATTCTTCAAATGTCCGCTTCAAAGCAATGCGCATAATTTCGTTTTTCCTCTTTAAATCGAAAATGTGAACAGTAAGAGCATTGATTGACGTCTATTAATTACTTTTATTGATACGGCAGCTGTTTTCGAAATACAGGTCATCATGTTTAAAAAAAAAGTACGCATAACCGGTGGATGAAACAATATCCAATATTCGCACGTCACACACATGCATGGCTGAATCTAGACACGCATAATTTCATTTTTCCCCTTTAAATCGAAAATGTGAACAGTAAGAGCATTGATTGACGTCTATTAATTACTTTTATTGATACGGCAGCTGTTTTCGAAATACAGGTCATCATGTTTAAAA